GAAGCATTTGCTTATATTGTTCCATTACTAAATAAAACTTGGGATTCAGATCTCAGGGTAAAAATCTGATTGATCAGAGAAGTGGCAGAAAAGCAACCAGTGACCTCTTCTCTCTCTCCATCTCCCCAATCCAAAGGGCCCACAAATCTTTCTAAACCCCTCCCTAGTACTCCCTGTGTCTCTCTATATGTATCACGGGTCAGCCAAAACCTCTATCACTAATTCTGATCACCCAGTTGCTGACTCCGCTCCCTGATTCAAGATTAAACTTTATTGTCAGTCTTGGAGTGACAAACAAACATCCCACAACATTCCCTCCTTTTTGTCTAAATAAAAAAGAAAGGTTTCAACTCTAACACAGTAAACCTATATACATTAAGAACAATTGTCAGGTAAGAATTACATTTATGGGCTGGAGAGATAGCTCAGAGGTCAATTGAACTCAGAGAGGTCCTGAGTTCAATTCCCAGCAACTACACGGTGGCTCACAACCATCTAATGAGATCTGGTGCCCTCTTCTGGCATGCAGGCATACATGCAGATAGAATACTGCACATATAATAAATAAATAAATCTTAAAAAAAAAAAGAATTACATTTACAACGTCCAGTCCATTTGTATTTGGCAACTTTGGAGAAAATACTTTATTATCTAGCCTATCTAGATGAGTCCAAAGTTTTATACCTAAACCACTTTCTATCATAACTTGTATTACTATCCTAAAAATATCTTTTTAGGCCTTAAAACATTTTCTAAGATAAACAGTTTTTGTCTCTCAACCTTATACACTTTACATCTCCTTTGTGAATTTCTTTTCTGAATTTGGTAACAAAGAAAACTGTAACTATAACTATCTAGTCTTCAAACCCATCAGAGGCCCGAGAAGAATATATTACCCAAGTAAACAGGAAGTACAGAGCAAACAACTTCCAAAACTAAAGAAATGACAGCGACAGTTGGCTATCTGGACAGTCATTCCACGGTTTCTCTGCAATGTTGGGGCATCCATCTTTGGCTTACAAGCCTAGAATATCTGACAGACTTTTCTGTGAAGCAGGAATTTTTTTTTTTTTTTTTTGGTTTTTCGAGACAGAGATTCTCTGTGTAGCTTTGTGCCTTTCCTGGATCTCACTCTGTAGACCAGGCTGGCCTCGAACTCACAAAGATCCGCCTGCCTCTGCCCTCCAAGTGCTGGGATTAAAGGCGTGCGCCACCACCGCCCGGCCCTGAAGCAGGAATTTTGAAGGACTGTCCTACCTTGTTTTGGCAAAGTTTGGCAGTCACCTTCTTTTGTGTCCTGCTTGTTCAATTTGGACAGCATACTGTCAGCAGTTGAGGCAAGGACAGTTTCTTGCCCAGTGACTAACTTTGCCACAATGAAAGCAAAGAGGTTCTTCGATGCCCATCATCCTTTTTTGAAGTAAATTGGTGCTGCCAGGAGCAGATGTGTCTCACTGTCTTGAAAAGCCTTATGTTATTAAAACACTTTAAATGTCATATTCTATAGGTCTTTGAAGTGTTTAAAGACCATCTATCTATTTAAAATGTGTCTATTTGACCTTGAAATATACTTAACATAACTATAAGTTTAATTGTTATAGATGACTAACTACTAACTTGCATTTCTTAATTATCTTAAATAGTTTGTAATAATAACTTTTAGGGACTACAACCTTACATTGCATTTTTAAATGAGCCACATAGGTACAATACTTTAAACAAAAGTAAAAACATACATAAAGTATGACAAAAATAACCTTAAGTTTGTATCAATATACAAAAATACCTTAACACTTGGGAGGCAGAGGCAGGCGGATCTCTGTGAGTTCGAGGCCAGCCTGGGCTACCAAGTGAGTTCCAGGAAAGGCGCAAAACTATACAGGGAAACCCTGTCTCAAAAAACCAAAAAAAAAAATTAAAAAAAAAAAAAGCATGCTTGGGTTTAGAGAAGGAGAGAGCCACACTCCAATTCCAAAGCCAGCTTTAATTTTTAATTGAACTGGGGCTACAAAAAGACCATTTGCCTTGTATGTCTGTAGAGAACAGCAGAAACACACACTTGGGAAGATTTATGAAGTTTATCCTATTGGAAATGTGATATACCAGTAGGCCAATTTACTCTTTTTTCTTGGGACATTTTCTCTGGATGATTTGTCCTTTTTCTTCAGATGTCTCATTTGTCCAGTGGTCTTCAGATTCCTTAGCTGGATGCCTTCATTCTCCTGGAAAGACAAAAACAAAACCCTGCCCCAGCCCTTAACTTTGGGGAGTTCCCTTTTTTGGCAAGTTATATCTGATCTAATGAAAAGCATTTGTTAATCTTATAAGTTAGTTTAGATTGAATGGCCACACTGTTTGATGAACTATTGCCTCTCCTACTCAAGAGGTCGGTCTTGTTTGAATCTAATCTTTATCAATTTTGATGGTATCCATAGCTTTTCTTCTCCCATGGAAACAAAAGCAAAACCTCCTCCCCAACGTAACACATATCCTGGTTTCCATTCTAAGGTCAACATATCTTTAAAGTATATAGGCTGATTTAATTCAGCATTTTTTTTTCTACTATCCAATGTCTCTCTGCAGCTGCCATTCCTTTCTCATTAGCATTTAGAAACATTAAAGTTAATAAAGCCTTGTGTAATCTCTCTCTGGAGGTCTTTATTACCCCTTTCTGTTTATTAAGCCTATCTTTTAAAGTGTGCTTAGATCTTTCTATAACTGCTTGTCCTTTAAGATTGTGTGGTATATCTGTAATATGTTTTATGTTGTAATATGAAAAAACACTTGTTTTACTAGAGACATATGCTGGAGCATTGTCAGTCTTAATTTGTATGGGTATTCCCATGATGGTCATAACTTGTGGTCATTCTTGTATGGTAACTGGATAAACTAAGGCTGCCTGACAACCCTGGGCTGCTCCTGTTTAGTTTCAACATGCCATGGTGTGGTAGGTTCTGATCTAAATTCCTCTGTCTCTGTGTGAAGACTTTTCGTAGTTTCATTGGTAGGTTTTTCTAAGGATTGTATCTTATCAGTCAATTTTTCATATTTGGCACAGATATCAAACCACTATTTTAAGGATAAAACATTAATTACCGAACTGGTAATAATTATAATCAACATTATGTCAATCCTGGCTATGTTAGTTACTTTATTTTTTCCAATTTCAAACCATCCATTGTGTAACCAACCATACAGAGTCCTAACTCCCTGCATTGTAATATTCCCCATTCCTAACATGGGAAAGATTTTTTTTTTTACATAAAACCTAATTCCTTCCTTAAGAATTCCCAGGTATCTCACCAAATCTGATGACTTTTGAGTTTGTCCACAGCAGTGACTAACGGCAGAGCTATGTGTTTTTTCTTTTGGGGGTGGGGGGGGCCCTGCAGCTGGCACTTGGTGCAGTGGCATGGTGCCCAGGCAGCCAGGCTAGCATGGTGGATGCTGGGGTCACAGCAGGTTGCCCACAGCACTTTGAGGCATGGGCTGGGCTGAGGTGTATGGTGGTGGTAGCAGCAGAAGCCCGAGCAGGTGGCCCAGATGGCACGTGGTGGTGGACCAGGGAGGGGGCCTGAGGAATGCCTAAAACCTGTGGGGATAGGGATGGAGCCAAAGTGGACATGGGAAACACAGGAGAAACCCCACCTAGGGGTGAGGGTGGGGGTGAGCCGCCTGAGCAGTGTCTGCAGCTTTCCCTCCATATGATCTAGTGCCATGTGTTGGATGCCAGATGCAGTTTACTTATATTGTTCTATTATTAAATATAACTTGGAAGTCAGATATTGGGGTAAAAACCCGATTGATCAGAGAAGCCACAGAGAAGTGAACAGTGAGCCCCTCTCTTTTCTCTCCTTCCCCTGATCCAAAGAGCCTGTGAATCTTTCTACAACTTTCCCTCCTACTTCCTGTGTCTCTCTATATGTATCCTGGGTCCTCCAAAACCTCTATGGCTAATTCTGGTCAACCAGTTGCTATTGGCAGTTTCGGAGTGTCAGTGCAAACAAATATCCTGCAACAAGCTGGGGTTCTTCAAAAGTAATGCCTGGAAAACAAACCTGCTGAGGCCTCTGGGAAATTCTCTTCAGTCTTCAATGACTGTGCTCATAGGTACAACTTCCTAGTCCTTTCTGAAATCGGGAGCACCAGATTCAGAAGCCAGAGCAGTTCCTTCCGGCTGCCATCCTCTTGCCTGAGCTGCCTGGAAGCTTCAGGTACAGACCTGTGCTACTATGCCTGGCTCCAGTTCATTTTTTTTTAGGCAGTGTCTCACTCTGTCACCCTGGCTGGCTTTGGACTCACATACCTGCCTGTCTCCAGGTGCTGGAATTATAGGTTACTGCCCCCAAGGCCAACTACAGCTAACTTCTTTATGTAAAACAGGCAAGCCTTGAGGCCACTCTCAGGCCTCAGGCCTAGCTCACCCTGCAGTCTTCTCCCATATGTACTCTGATGGCTGACTCACTGAGGGCAGAGTCCATCCTGGCATGATGCTCCTCTGGGGAGTGGTAATGAAGGGACAGATGGTAAGGAGAAAGGTCTCAACTTCTTGACACATGCCTGGTGTGCTGGCAAAGACGTGTAATCTCAGCACAGCGAGGCTGAGGCAGGATTGGTGGGAGTTCAAGGCCAGCCTGGGCTATAGAGGAGACACATACACACAGCATTACCTCACGTGATACAACAGGCAATAAGAACTGCCTCCTGGCTGGGCGGTGGTGGTGGTGGTGAATGCCTTTAATCCCAGCACTCGGGAGGCAGGGCCAGGCGGATCTCTGTGAGTTCGAGGCCAGCCTGGGCTACCAAGTGAGTTCCAGGAAAGGCGCAAAGCTACACAGAGAAACCCTGTCTCGAAAAACTAAAAAACAAAAACAAAAAAAAAAAAAACTGTCTCCTAAACCTAGGGCTCCCCTAAAGTTGGTGAGAACGAGGCAGAAGTATGAACAAAAGGATTACATCATAAACCTGGGTTTCAGAAACAACACGTCCAGTTCAAGGGCTGGTTTTCTTTTCCCAGATCTTTTTAATATAAACAAAGATAAACACATCTCAAGTCTGCCATCTGTCAGCATGTCTTGTTTCTACAAGATGCACACTAGACTCAAGACTACATAGCAAAAAGTCTTTAAGAGCATTTGGTCGGGAAAAATAGAAAAAGCAGATCTCAGGGAAGACTGGGCACAGCCAACCACTAGAGCAGTCCTTGTCTTTTCAGATCCTCGTATGTCTTCTTGTTCACAACATTGCCACTGGAATCTTCATATTCTTCCTGGGAAGGAAGGGCTCTGTTAGCTACACATTGAGTTCCACAGCAAACCCTGGTACCTAGACACCAACATTCCCCTAACACAGTTTTCTCATCCAGAGTTCCACACGGGAACCAAAGCCACTCTAGTTTTCTAGAGTGGCACCAGTTGTGGCCCACCCCTATCCCTACATAGTCAAAGCCTGTTTGAGGCAAGGAAGCCTGGTAGGGAAAGGCTGATGAAACACAGCAGTGTGAAATGATTCTCAAGGAGCCTGGGTTTCTGCTCACTGGCCACTGCAGGAGTTGACAGGGAGGCCAAACAGGCTTAATGCTTAAGGTCTACATTACAGCTGGAAAGGCTCTTGATGCTGAAATACCAACACAGAATAAAGGAGACTACCACCAGTGTCCACAGGTCCCAGATGTTACCACTACACCTTCAAAGCACATTTCTGAGACCTGTTCTCCACTACACAGAGAGGACTTCCTCTGACTAGATGCTTTCCTGAGCCACCTAACAGGTGACGGACTTCTTACTTTAGAAATCTCCAGGGTAGCACAAGAGACTGGGTGCTCTTGTTCACATCACCCTCAGTGGGCGAACAAAACTGCCTATGACAAAGACAAAGTACGACACAGGCTTGTGTAGTCACCTGCAGACACTGTCCCATTACACTTGCTCCTGCAGTAAGCCTTTTTTCCTCTCCCCTCTGCAGGGTGAGGGGGCTGTCACCTGATGCCACACCTAAGACTCCACATTTTCACCCACCTCGGTGTCGGGCTGCCATCGTTCTGAAGCCTTCTGCAGTTTCAGCTTGGCCCACACTGCAGGATGAGAGAAAAGCAGCCATGAGGACTCACAGTCCACTGGGTGCAAGTCACATCACTCGTACTGCCCTGCTCCCAGCAGCCCCCTCCCCCAATGACTAGCTGTCTCCAGAGTGCAGGGATTAAAGGCGTGTGCCACCACCGCCTGGCCAAACTCCTTTTATTGTGAAATTTACCACCATCTCACTTTGCTGTAAAAGGAAGGTGAATCAGGACTTTAAATTTAGAACAGAGAATGAAAAACCAGGCATGGAGGCACACATCTGTAATCTCAACATTTGGGAGACAGAGGAAGGAGGAGGATCAGGCAGTTTAAGGCTAGCCTTGGCTACATAGTGAGATTGAGGCCATTCTGTGCTAAATGAGCAACCCTGCCTCAAAAAACAATTATAACAGTAAAAAGAAAAGAAATATTTCAAAAGAAGAAGTTAATGTAGTCTATAGGAATTATGGAATAAAATAACAATGATTATGGCAGAGAGGGCTTAATACATATCCTGGTTAGGTTTTCTTCTCTATTTTTTTTTTTTTTTTTTTGAGGCAGGGTCTCTCTATGTGCTCCTGGCTGTCCTCAAGCTCACTCTCTAGACCAGGCTGGCCAGAACTCAGAGATCCTGCGTCTACCTCCCGAGTGCTGAGATTAAAGGAGTGCATCACCACATCCGGCCCCTGTCCTGGTTTATGTCAACTTGACAAAACCTGACAACTTGACAAGCTACAGTTATCTGGAAGGTGGGAACCTCAAGTAAGAAAATGCCCTCATCATATTGTTTATAGCACATTTTCTTCACTAATGACTGACAAGGGATGGCTCAGCTCACTGGGTGCTGCCACCCCTGGGCAGGTAGGTGGTCCTGTAAGTTTGAAAAAAGCAGGCTGAGCAAAAGCCATGGAGAACAAGTAAGCAGTGTTCCTCCACGGCCTCTGCTCTGGTTCCCGCCTCGAGTTCCTACCCTAACTTCCCTCGGAGATGGGCTGTGATGTGGAAGTGTAAGCCAAATAAGCCCTTTCCTTCCCAAGTTGTTTCAGTCATGTTTATCACGAAACAGAAAGCAAACCAAACTATAACCCACATTACTACCTACACTGACTGCCTTAAGAATCAGTCAACATCTGCTGCCACATTTTTTTTTGCTTGAATATGTGGTGTGCATGCATGTTTACATCTTCAAACATGAATAACTGCCCATGAGTGATGACCTGAGTCTGATCCCTAGAACACCTGGTGGAAGGAGATCTACACATGAAGTGCCATGCATACCCATGAGCACATACAAACATACGTACATGGTAAATAAATGTAAGAAAAGAATTTTTTTTTTATTGTTTTGTTTATCAAGTCAGGGTTTCTCTGTATAGCCCTGATGTCCTGAAAATTGCTCTGTAGACCAGGCTGGCCTCTGTCTCTGCCTCCCAAGTGCTGGGATTAAAGATACATACCACTACTAACACTAGGCTCAGAAAAAATTTTTATAAGCATTCAAACTGTAGAATTATGATTCATTCTATGAATTATGCCTGAATTTCTTACTAACAAAGCAAAAGGGAAAAAATAAAACAGGAAGTTAATTGGGCTAGGTATGGTAGCTCATGCCTGTAATCCTGGCACATAGGAGGTTGAGGCCGGAGGATTACCACCACTTCAAAGTAAGTCTCAGGATAGTCTGAGCTAGAGTCAGATCCCATCCCCAAAACAAAACCAAGAGCTGGGGAGATGGCTCCGAAGGTAAAGCTACCATGGAAGCATGAAGACCCAAGTTTAGATCTTCAGCGCCCATGTAAGAGCCAGGTGTGGCGGCTTAATGTCCAAAGCCCTAATGCCGAAGGGCAGGGCAACTCTCTGAAGCTTACTGGCCAGCTAGCCTAGTTGAATCTATGGGCTGCAAATTTGAGAATAGGGCTTATCTTAAAAAACAAAAAACAAAAAAAAAAAAACAACCAAACAAAAAAACTAAGGTGGATGGCTGGAGAGATGGCTCAGCGGTTAAGAGCACTGGCTGCTCCTCCAAAGGACCCAGAGCTCAATTCCCAGCACCACATGTCAGTTCACAACTGTCTGTAACTCCAGTTTCAGGGCATCTGATGCCCCCTTCTGCTCCGATGGATCCTGCACATACACAGTGCACAAAGTCACATAAGCAAGCACAAGCACATAAACACACACACACTTTTTTTTTAATTTGAAAGAATAATAAAAATAGGGTAGAGAGTGATCAAAGAACCTATAGCCTTCATATACATGCATGTACCCACATGCACACATATATAAACTACTGAAGTTGGGTGTGGTAACACATCATTACTCACAGCACTCAGGAGGCAGAGGCAGGCAGATGTCTGAGTTTGAGGCTAGCCTGATCTACAGAATGAGTTCCAAGACAGCCAGGGATACACAGTGATACCCCGTCTACCAAACCAAACCAAACCAAACCTAACCCAACGATAAAAAAACCCAACTGTCTAGCTAGCATAAAGTGAAACACAACAGAGAAGAGATGAATGGGAAAGCAAAGGACTCCGCCAGCAAGGTCTTAGCAGCTGAGACCGCCAGGCAAGGTGAGGCACCCAACACATATTCCATTGGCTTTTCCTCCAATAAGTGTTTTGCTGCTGCGTTCTGTTATCTGTATCTGCCTCAGAAGTAAGCTTACCAAGCCATTTCTGCTTTCTTCTTCTGGATCAGTGGTTCCTAACACATTAAAATCAACTCAGAAGTGTAAACACATAACCTACACTCAGATCTTCACAAAGGAAAGTTCACAGACTCAGGCTGAAAGCCCTGTTCTAACCTCAGCATAGGATTCATTTCAAGGGAGATATAATCAGTACTGCCGAGCAGCTCACTCCCCTAAAAAAATGCAGTAATTATATGTGTGCCTTAGCTTTCTACAGCCACAACCTCTGCCCTTGGGCCTGGAGACAGCAGGGTACTGGGACAGCTGCAGGAGGGGCCACTTGGTCTGGCTAGGGAAGAGTCAGCAAGCTTACTCACAGGAGACGGCATCTTCAATCTGTGTCACATTTGCAAAGTGGGCAGTGTTTGGGATGCCCAAGCACCTCATGCCATGAGCATGACGCCATTCCTGGAAGAGAAGCAAAGGGACAATGTGAAGCAGGGACAGCTGAGACAGCACTCACTTCAGTCTACCACAGACTCTACCCCAGCAGAAGGCAGCTGCCTGTGACTGACACAGGCTGACAATGGCATCAGGGCTGCACTGTCTCAGGCTCCCAGACCTCAGATTCTAGAGTCCGTGGTGTCAGGAAAGTATAACCCAGACTCAGCACTCCGTGCAATAGAGAAGCTGGTACGACCCAGCAACCCTCCCACCTGCAGGGCCGTGAGGACAGGCTGGTGTCTCTGGAGGTCAAGGAACAAACTGCTGAGCAGACAGAAGATGATGAAATCACAACTATAGCTCTTAGGCAGAAAGCCACCATAGGCTTTATCCTGGACACCAACCAAAAATGGAGGACAGATGCAACAATCTGTGTCAAGAACAGGCTGGTAAATATCAGGGCCTCAATTTATTTATTTTTTTTTTCTGCAAAGAGGCAAAGGCCCATTTAAAATCTAAAACACAACAAAAACCTGCCCAGCCCCCTTTAATAGCAATGTAGAGAAGACCAAGAAGCCAGAGGTGGGCCAAGATGCTACAGAAAAACACGACAAAAGTACAAGAACGAGTATGGAAAAAAAGCCAAAATGAAGCTCCACAGCAGCGTGGCAGCATGACTGGAGGGACGGGCCCAGGTGTCAGGGCCAGGAGGGCCCACAGCCACAAGCATGGGCCTCTCTGATCCCGTTCAGCTCTGGACACTAGAGGCCCCACAGGCTGCTACCATCCTCTTCTCTAAAGGGCTGTTTCTACTCAGTTCCCAAGAGAAAAGCTCTGAACGTCTTACAGCGAAGTGCCGCTGGAAGGCCTTTGGCCCTCGGTAGGTGTAGTTTCCACAAATCTCACAGTTGTAGTTGATGTTCAGACCATGGAGCTTGTACAGCCAGTAGGGGATGGGCTAAAAGACACCAAGGTTAGACAGCATTAGATCACTAAGCGCTTGTGTGCTTCCACAGTGGGAGGGGGAGGGGTCCCTGGAGGCTTACTTTGCCGTCCCAGCCCAGAGGCAGGTTTTTGGGGTTGTAAATGATCTCATTCTCTTCGTCTTCGCTTTCGCTCTCGCTGATCTGCTCTTCCTCCTCCTCCTCTCGCTCCTCTCCTGTCCTGGCTTGCTTACGCTGCACATTTTCATGAGTGAGCTGTCGCTGTTCCTAAGGTGGGATAAACAAGGAGCAAAGTCAGAGCAAATTAGTGCAGGACACAAAGGGACATTTCCTCTAACTCTTGCTGACGCCTTACTGCCAAAGGAAGGTTTTGGTTGTAGAATAAGGGTAAGAAGGGCTGGCAAGATGGGCTCAGCTAGTTAAAAAGTACTTGCCAGGCTGGGCGGTGGTGGCGCATGCCTTTAATCCCAGCACTCAGGAGGCAGAGCCAGGTCGATCTCTATGAGTTTGAGGCTAGCCTGGGCTACGAGATCCAGGACAGGTATCAAAACAACACAGAGAAACCCTGTCTCGAAAAAAACAAAAAAACAAAACAAAACAAAAGTACTTGCCAGGCAGCCTGATGACCTGAGTTCAAGTCTCAGAACCCACGTAAAAAGCCACATCTGCAATCTCAGCCCTCTACAGCACCTTGGGAGGTGGAGACCGGGCAGACTAGCCTGGAGCCTGAAGTACTTGTTTTTGACCTCCACATGTGAGACTGTACACACACACACACACACACACACACACACACACACACACACACACACACACACACGGAGTAAGTTTTAAAAGTGAATAGACAAAAGCAAAAGGGGAGACTTTTGTCTTGCCTTCTCCTCAGAACCATGCTCGCAGGTCACACCTGGTCCTCAAGGGAAAGTCCAAGGTTCTAGTGCACACGCCTTGATCCTCACCGGAGGCTGCAGACCGACACAGGTCTCAGCACGGCTGGTGAAAAGTCCCGAGCCAGTCTTTCTACTGTGGTGGCCGCCCTGCCCAAGATGGCCACTTCCCACTCACAATGACTTTCCCTCTTTGGTTCTGTTTCCATGCAGTTACTCGTTTCTCTTGACCACAATGTGAGTTATTTAAGGACCATAACATACTCATTTCATAGGAAGAAATTCAGTATCATGCTTAAAAAACCACAGCCATAAATAAATGGCGAAGGTGACGACAAATGTCCTAGGACCCAGAGTGACAGCAACGTCAGCAGCCCACAGCGTAGAACTGGTTAGAAGTCAAGAGGGGGCCGTGTCCTGGTTGTCCAGAAAAGGGAGAAAGCAGTAGGCACATATCACGCCAAGGGCATGGAGGAAAGGGCTTCTCAGCCAGCTTCAGAGGACTGGCCACCCATATTGATACCCACATTAAAACAGCCCACGTTCACTGTCTCTGGTAACTAGTGTCTGGCTAGTCTTTCAAGAGAATCACTCATTAGAGAAGCAGTGGGGGACTACTTCCCCAGCTGTGTGGGTGGGGGCTAAAAATAAAGCAGAATCATATCCATGGCAAAGGGCAGATATGGGAACAAGTTATCTTGGGCAAGTCACACCTTTTCCACCTCCTACCCACCCTTAGCACTCCTTGAGAGACTATGCAAGGAGAATGATCACAGCTCTCCTGGTACTAGCTCTCCTTTAGCCTTGCTAGGCTTCACAATCTCAACACCGGCAAAACGCTGCATCACAGTAAATCACACCCGAAGGGCTGCCGTGAGTCGCCTTTGTCTTGCCTTTTTTTTTTTTGGTTTTTTTCGAGACAGGGTTTCTCTGTGTAGCTTTGCACCTTTCCTGGAACTCGCTCTGTAGACCAGGCTGGCCTCGAACTCACAGAGATCCACCTGCCTCTGCCTCCCGAGTGCTGGGATTAAAGGCGTGTGCCACCACCGCCCGGCTTGTCTTGCCTTTTGAGTGCCTGCTTCTTGGGTCGCACCCTGGTCTATGCTGAACCTCAGCAAAGAGCTGCATTATTCTTGATCCGGCTGAAAGGGGGGTCTGTTGTCTATGTTTGGCCTTGTGGGAATTGGGCAGCCTTGGGAATATCACCTAACAACAGAACAGGAACCTACTGAAGGGCCAGGGACTTCAAGAGAACCACATTTTGAGATGAATTTACTGCCCCAGCCCCCTCTTTACTTGAACTTGAAAAAAAAAGTCCTTCCTATCCAATTCCCACCCTGAGCAGTACCACAGCTCTCAGAAGACTATGTTACTCACCCCAAGAATCTCCACATATTCATAGATCTGGGCTTCCAGGAAAGCAATATCTTTGTTCCTCTCAGTGTCTCTGAGAATAAGAAACAAGCTATTATCAGTTAAGGGTTCTTTTGCCCCTAAAGCTTTACTCCTGTCAGGAACACCGACTCTGTGATGCATTAGAATCTCTCAGGCGCATGAGCAACACCACGCAGAGCAACCTCTCTGCTTTAAGTCCAGAGGTTAGTGCTTACAACCTAGGAGTTTCCTCTTGACCGTGCCTATAAAGCGGTAAGATCACTTCAGGCCAGACCACTGTAACTCACAATGGAACCCAGTCAACAGGAAGCCCTGCAAGCAAGTGCATGACACGAAGTCCTGACTCTGCTGCTTAGCAACTGCAAGAAAGGGCACATTTTGCAACTTTCCCAAGTCCCCGAAAAAAATCAGAGTAACAACTACTTTTCAGGCTTCTTATGACAAATTAGGGAAAAAAAAAAAAATTAAAACAAAACAAGACAAAAACCTTCAAATAGCCCCAAAATACTCAAACTGAAAAAACCCAATACCCTGTGTAGGTATATGGTCAATTGTCTGTAGCAAAGGTAAAGTAGAAGCTAGGCCATGGTGGTGCATGCTTTTAATAGCAGCGATTGGGAGGCAGAAGCAGGCAGATCTCTCTCAGTTCAAGGCCAGCCTGGTCTACAAAACGAGTTTCAGGACAGCCAGAGCTACACAGAGAAAACCTGTCTTGAAAAATCAAAATCAAGACCAAGGAGGCAGTTTAAGGTCATGCCCAGAGACTTAGCAAGTTTGAGGCCAACCTGAGTTACAGGAGACCCTGTCCTAAAGGGAAAGAGCAAAGCAAAGGAAGGATGGGAAGCTGCCTCTATGGGAAAGAGTTGAATCAGAAGAGAGGTGCGCCCCAGCTACTCCAGCTACTCACCTTTTTGTACCCTTGGATTTGGGATTTTTGGCAAACAGAGAGGTGTCGAGTGACTCCAGGGACTTTCCTTTGGTGCTGAATAGCCTCTGAGCTCGCTCTTCTAGGGTCCTAAGGAGGCAGGAGGTACATTGGATTTTAGGATGAACTTATGCACAGCAGGCTGGTGTGAGACTCAGAGCCTGCCTGCCTCTGCCTCCAGAGTGCTGGGGTTAAAAGTGTGATGCACAAGATGATTTTTGCAGTGTGGAGCAACAGAAAACAACAAAATCGGAGCCACACAGTATACACAGTAACTAGGAAGTTTGATAGAAAAACCAGGTTCTTACCCGCCACACTTCAGGCCTAAAGCTAACAGTGCAGATTTCAACCTGTCCAGACCCAGGGATGCTAACTCCTACAAAAGATAAATCAGTTACAAAATAACATGATTAGTTTTTTCTCCAGGCAAGACTACATTCTACAGTCAACCTAGCTTTCGGTCTCTATAGACCACCTACTGCCATGTCTGGACGCAGCCACACTGGGAGGGCAGCATTCCCTAGCTCTCTATGGTAGCATCGTCCCTACCAGTATTGTTGCAGAGATGAGAACTGAACTCGGGACCTCATACATGCTGACCACATACTCCACCAACTGAGCTCTCTCCAGCTCCCTGTTATGCTTTAGAATTACTGCCTTTGTGTTTTGAGACAGGGTCTTATCTAAAGCTAGCTTCACACTCACAGCAATTCTCCTGCTTCAGCAACCCTCTAACTCTCAAAATACTGTAGCATCATCATATCACACTTCTCTGAAATTTAGTTTTTAGAGAAGTTAAAAGGTTTCTTCCTTCTGGTCTTTCTTTTCACTGTACACGCCTGTCCTCAGGAAATGGTATTATTGCAAGTCTAAGACACTGAATAGAGGAGAGCAAGTGCTTCCTCCAAAGAATGGCCAGGGCTGGTGAGACGGCTCAACAAGAAGTGAAGGCCTGCTGTCAAGTGACAATCTGAGTTTGAGCCCCAGGAATCACATGGTGGAAGGAAAGAACCAACTCCTACCACTTATCTTCTCCACACGCCTGCCTTGGCACATGTGTGGGTACACATAACTACTCCTACACAATAAATTTATCAACAACAAAAAGACGGCCAAGCAAGGCCAGTATTGTCAATTGTCCTGAAACATACCTCCCAGGAGGAGAATGCCGAGAGGTCAAGATGGGCTCCAGCATGGGTCAGGGCACTGCTTGTCTCTTTCTGGCAGGAACAGGAAGTTTAAGATCCAGGTTAATAAGATGAATGAACTAAGGAAGCCGTCTAAATTCCCAGGACTGGCTGGCCCCTTTCTTTAATCACATTTACAAATAATGGTCAGTTCATACAGAAATGAAGCAAAAAATATGAAATGGCTACTTATAAGTTCAAGTTTATCAATAGAAGTAAAAAAATATACATTCTAATCATACAAACTGATCAGATTTTGGTCAGCAGGAGCCACAGAGCAGTCCAATATGGTTGTTAAAAATCCTGGGCTCAGGGCTGAAAAGATGGCTCAACAGTTAAGAGCATTGGCTATTCCTTCAGAGGACCTGGGTTCAATTCCCAGCACCCACATGGCAACTCACAACTGTCTGGAATTACAGTTCCAGGGGACCTGACACCTTCACATCAAGGCACATAAAATAAATTTAAATAAATCATTAAAAAAAAAAATCCTGGGCTCAAGCCGGGCAGTGGTGACCCATGCCTTTAATCCCAGCACTGGGGAGACAGAAGCAGGCAGATCTCTGAGTTTGAGGCCAGCCTAACTTAAAAAGCGAGTTCCAGGACAGGTTCCAAAGCTACACAGAGAATCCCTGTCTTGGGGGAAAAAAAAACAAATAAATATCAAACAATAAACCCCTGGGCCCAGACAATGGTCCTGACAAATCTTGTTCAAAGTGTACAAAGAAAGTCTTGTCTCAGGGTAGAGCTGATCCTGAGGGACTGGCATCCAATGTCCTGAAGCAGGGACTCAACACTGAAATAGTAAGTTGTTGTGGGATATTTGCACACTGTGTGAAGGTGTATTACTGTGATTGGTGTAATTAAAAGTTGAATGACCTTAATCCCAGCACTCGGGAGGCAGAGGCAGGCGGATCTCTGCGAGTTCGAGGCCAGCCTGGGCTACAGAGTGAGTTCCAGGAAAGGCGCAAAGCTACACAGAGAAACCCTGTCTCGAAAAACCAAAAAAAAAAAAAAAGAAAAAAAAAAAAAAAGAGTTAGTTAGGAACAAGCCTAAGCTATAGTCCGAGCTCTGATAATTAATTAAGAATTCTCTGTGTCATTATTTGGGAGCTGGCTGGCAGGACAGAAAAGGACATGCTACATATGACGCCCAAAGATTAGCTATAGGCCGAGCTCTGATAATTAATTAAGAATTCTCTGTGTCATTATTTGGGAGCTGGCTGGCAGGACAGAAAAGGACATGCTACATATGACGCCCAATGTAGGGCCAGAATAGCCAAACACAGGGCCTGAGAAAGCTAAGAAAAGTTTTGGACAAAAAGCCAGACTTGGCTTTCTAGTCCTGGAGTCTCTCAGGTGGGTCAATGCTCAGCACACAGGGGCTCAGCTACCAAGCTGCTGCCTGCGGGCTGGAGCCAGCTGCCAGCACCTACACTGAGCTGCAAGGTGGCTGACATGGCAGTTTAAAATTTGTCCCACGTGGTGAAAGAACACTGCAGGCGCTTAGTTAAGCCAGGTCCAGATACAAACAAACCTCTAAAAAGGTACAGTATGTTTAAAATGTGCTTAGACACCAATCAAAGAAAAGAAAAGAAGCATAGACAGTCATTTAAAAAAAAAAATAGTTTAAGCCGGGCGGTGGTGGCACACACCTTTTTTTTTTTTTTTTTTTGGTTTTTCGAGACAGGGTTTCTCTGTGTAGCTTTGTGCCTTTCCTCGAACTCACTTGGTAGCCCAGGCTGGCCTCGAACTCACAGAGATCCGCCTGCCTCTGCCTCCCGAGTGCTGGGATTAAAGGCGTGCGCCACTACCGCCCGGCAGCACACACCTTTAATCCCAGCACTCGGGAGGCAGTGCTAGGCGGATCTCTGTGAGTTTGAGGCCAGCTTGGTCTACAGAATGAGATCCAGGACAGGCACCAAAGTTACAGAGAAACTCTGTCTCAAAAAAGAAAAAAAAAGAAAGAAAGAAAAAAGAAAAATCAAAGCAAAAAAAGTTTAAAAATAATAAAGTAAGGGTTGGGGATTTAGCTCAGTGGTAGAGCACTTCCCTAGCAAGTGCAAGGCCCTGGGTTCGGTCCTCAGTTCTGGAAAAAAAAAAAAAAGAAAGAATAAAGTAATATAAAAAGAATAAGCCACGTAAAGATGGAAAATACACAGGGAGTCTGGATCCTGTATGGTGTTTTGTTGACTTTGAATTTTTCAAATGCTAATATACAAAAAAAAAAAAACAGCTGTTAAGAGACATTGGATTATGAAAACTGCTATATTAAACCAACCTATGTATTTTAAGAATGTCTTCACTTTAGAATGGAAGTAAAAAAAAATATATTCTGTTGGGAAAAGGTTATGCCTTTGTTTCCACAGAACACAAAAAGTTACGGTTCTCTTCAAAATTAATAAAGATCAGATTTGATTAGGGGAGATCTCCTGAAAATCTTGGCTATAGACATGAAAAAAGAAACCAAAAAATACTACAGGACATGTGATGTATATGCTGATCCCTCTAATATGGGAACAGCTCTGAGACTGGATGAGATATGATAAATCTTGTTGGCTACAGAGTCCTTATGATTTATTATTACATGCCATTCTTTAATATGGCATGGATAGAGGTTTGGTTATATAGTCCAAACAAACTTATAAAATCGACAGATGCCTTTTACCTGCTCAAACATAAAACAAGAAATCATCTTTAACTGACTTGTGCACACTCCACATTTCATATTTATGTTAATACAGATATATATGTTACCTTTAACAGTTTGTGTTTTCAGAAAGAAAAAAAGAGCCAAAAAGTAATGAAGACAAGTAGCCCAGGTGATCCAGCCTCTCAAAATGCCTCTGTGGCCGTTTCTTCAAAATTCTGAATCCAGAACAACTTCAAAGCTGCTGAGATGTCCAGCTTCACAGACTATCCAGCTAAGACTTCAGATAAGTTCTACTCTTTCCCATCAACAGAGGCTAAACAAAGAATATAGCTATCTCTCCCAGGACTTGACCATTATCCCAATTTTCTCATGAGCCCTTAAAGATGCCACTGCCCCCAGACAACAGAAAGCAGTCTAGAGAACACGACACACGCATTCCCAAGATGTGGAATGGATGGTTTTTGGTCATTCAATGTATAATGGATGTTTGTCATCATTTGGGGGGTTGGTTACAAGTTGTTATTGGTAATGATCAGGAAAAAAGTTGAACAAAGGTAATTAGATTCAGAGATCTCATTCTGAAAAGAAAAATGAGAGATAAAGAAATGATAGGATAAAAGGCAGATTATTAAATCTTCTTTCAAACTAAAACCAACAACTATTTCCTGCATACTCAGGTAATATTGTATCCTTCTTGGGTCTCTGATGGGATTTGAAGACTAGATAGTATACAGTTTTTCTTGTTATCAAATTCAGAAAAAAATACTTACATATAAGGTTAAGGAACATAAAAGCCTAAGTTGTTTATCTAACATGTTTTTAGGTCTAAAAAGATATTTTTAGGATTGTAATACAAGTTATGATAGAAAATGGTTTAGGTATAAAACTTTGGATTCACTCAGATAGGATAGATAATACAGTACTTTCTCCAAATTTGTCAAATACATATGGACTAAACATTGTGAATGTAATTCTTACTCGATAATTGTTCTTACTGTATATAGTTTTATGTTAGAAATAAAACTTTTCTTTTTTATTTAGACAAAAAGGGGGAAATGTTGTGGGATATTCGTACACTGTGTGAAGGTATATTACTGTGATTGGTGAAATAAAAAGCTGAATGGCCAATAGCTATGCAGGAGGTATAGGTGGGGTTTCTGGGAAAAGAAAGGAAGATGAAGAGGAATCTAGATATGCATGCGACATGGAGAGGAAACAGGAGGTGCAAAATGGAAGAGAGGTCACACCACATGCTAGAACATAGACTAATATAAATGGGTTAGTTTAAGTTATAAGTCTAGTTAGGAACAAGCCTAAGCTATAGGCCGAGTTTTCATAATTAATAAGAAGTCTCTATGTCATTATTTGGGAGCTGGCTTGCAGGACAGAAAAAGACTCACTACATAAGTTCCTTTCCCTGGCATGAACCCCACTGAAGCTCACCGGCCATCCAGGAAAGGTACCATTATCCCACTTCTTCTCAAAGTCAGTCTGAATCTTCCCAAAGAGCTCATTCTGATCCTGAAGGGGCTTCACTCTATCTGTGTAATCCTGGAGGTACTCCAGCAGCATTTCCAGGTATCTGCAGAACATGCAACAGAGAAAGCAATCACAGCTTCTATCTGTGACATACTGCTATGCCCTGCAAACTATATGTCATTTTTTTTCTTTTTCTTGGTTTGTCAAGACAGGCTTTCTCTGTGTAGTCCTGGCTTTCCTGGAACTCAACCAGGCTGGCCGAGAACTCATAGATCTGCCTACCTCTGCCTCCCAAGTGCTGGGATTAAAGGCATGTGCCATTACCATCCAGCTCACTTTTTAAAAAAAATTTTTAAAATGAGTTTAATTTTTTTTTTCACATCATGACCTTTCCTACCTCCTTTTATCCTCAAGATATGATGTCAAATACTAAATCTTAATTAACTCACAGATAAAAGAAGTCAGATAAACAGAATATTAGAAATAGCAAGCTTGGGAACAACTAAGGAGAAATGTGATTAATTAATATTACTTTCCATTTAATACCAGATCTAAGCACATAGCCAGTCCTGGAAACTTTCCCCATTAAACTCCAAAAACCTCAGAGGTCCCCAAACAGACTTCTTTCTATATTACACAAAATTAAGGAAGGTATGGATGAGACCACAGATGTTCCCATAGATACTGTGGTGGTTTGAATGCAATTGGCTTCCATAAGCTCACAGCGAGTAGCACAACGGGTAGATGTGGCTTTGTTGGAGTAGATGTGGAGGAACTGTGTCACTGTGGAGGTTGTCTTTAAAGTCTCATATATGCTCAAGCCACACCCAGTGTTTCAGTTCACTTCCTGTTGCCTCTGGATCAATATGTAGGACTGTCAGCTATTTTTCCAGCACCATGTGTGACTAAACACCACTATGTCCCACCATGATGACAATGCACTGAACCTCTGAACTGTAGGCCACCCAATTAAATGTTTTCCTTTAAAAGAGTTACAGTGGTCATGGTGTTTCTTCACAGCAATGGAAACCATAACTAAGATAGATACCTTTGTCTACAATCAGATTATCACACATTTTTATTTTAATTCTTGAGACAGGGTCTCACTATGCATCCCTGGTTCGCTTAGTACTCAATATGTAGACCAGTTGGCCTCAAATTCACAGTGATCCACCTGCCTCTGCCTCCTGGACTGCTAGGATTAACGGCACACAACATTATGCCAGCATCACAAATATTTTAAAACCTAACAGTTGGTATCTTCCAATAAACCAAGAAGTCATTCATGTATAGCATTCAGGCAACAAAAGACAGAATTTTGACCTCAAACCTTCCCATGAAATTCTACTAAAGTCCAGAAAAGGCCTGGAAACTGTGAATGCCTACCTCTTATACTCTGCGTTCTTTCTTTCTTTAGGAATGTCAAATAACTGGTCAAAGATGGACAGGTATGTGATATAATCCAGCTTCTGAAAACAGAAAAGAAATGACAGGTCAGGATGACAAGTCAGTTAATCTTCAAAGAGTAAGGTCAAGGGCTGGAAAGATGGTTCAGTGGAGAAAGGTGCTTGTTCCAAGTGTTAAGACCTGAGTTCTACTTCAGGGACCCACAATGGAAGAAGAGAACTAACTCCCTCAAGTTATCCTGTGACCTCCAATCTTGAAGGCCACTGTACACATGTGCATACACACTAAATAATTTTTGTTTTTAAAAGGTCAAATTGAGTGTTCTCTAACCAAGTACCAAGGCTTTGCTTAGTGTTTTCTTTCCTGTCTCTCAATCCCTAAGACTGTTGATTTCAATGAAGTGAGTAGAAGATTGCTGGACATGAAACTAACTCTACAAGATCAAGTTAACAAACAAATCCAAGGCTCCTGTCTAAACACTTTGCCATTCTAAAATAAGGTCCTGAAAGATGTCCTGTGTTAATTCATGCCTCCACTTACTAAAGATCTTTGAACCAAACTTGGAGGTGCAGAAGAGAACAAGGCACCTGCTTGCAGAGCCTACAGGTTCGTGGCTGAACTTGGAGACATTTCCCCATAAGGACAAGGTCTCACAGAGATCCTTCTGCCTCTGACTCCTGAGTGCTGGAGTTAAAGGGATACCACCATGCCCCACCTACAAACTACTATTAATGTGACCTTTTGAAACTGCCAATTTAAGCCTCATCACCAAACAAACAACAAATAAACACTTGCCTCACCAAAAGACATGAACTAGTCCTTTCCTGACAGAGATAGTGTTGTATCTCTCACATGCCTCATACTGTGCACCCAACACAAGAGCATTCGAAGTATTTATGGGTTTAAAAACTTGCTGGGCATGGTGGCACATGCCTTTAATCCCAGCACCCAGGAGGCAGAGCCAGGCGGATCTCTGTGAGTTCGAGGCCAGCCTGGTCTACAGAGTGAAATCCAGGACAGGCACCAAAACTACACAGAGAAACCCTGTCTCGAAAAACCAAAAAAAAAGTGTTTCTATGCATGAATAAATTAATGAAAATTATTAATAAAGAAAATAATGGACTTGCTGTAACTGTAGGCACGTGTCATTTCATTATCAATACAAGTTAATACAAGTTACATGGGGGACACTGTATGTGCTTTACCTAGATACCTTGACTTAATTCCTAGAATGAAAAATCTTTCTCCTCTCTCCAGGCCTTACCTCAGACGCCTTCAGGTTAATGTACTTAAGGTAGCAGTCATGGAGATCAAGGTAGCGACCATATCCCTCTTCATCTGTGAACTCCACCAAGTCTGAAGAAATCACACATGTCAATGATTCTGATATAAGACCACTTTCTTGAACTTGCTCTTTTTAAAAAAAAATTTTTTTTTAATTTATTTATTGTGTATACAGTCTTCTGCCTGGGCATATGTTTGGATAATAGAAGAGGGCATCAGATCTCATTACAGATGGTTGTGAGCCACCATGTGGATGCTAGGAATTGAACTCAGGACCTCTGGAAGAACAGCCAGTGCTCTTAACCTCTGAGCCATCTCTCCAGCCCTGAACTTGCTCTTTAAATGCACTACCTGCTCGAAGTTCCATGAGTCAGCCCTTCACTCCAGTATCCTCTTTACTCTCATCAAATGAACAGATCTAGGCTTTCATTTTGAGCTTAGACAGCAAGGCCATGTGGATGTCAATATAGCCCGGAAACCAATCTGAAAACCCAGTTATCAATTTCTCAGGTACTTGGGGGTAGGGGTTAAAAATAGGGTTTCTTATAAGCCTAAACTGGCCTCAGACTCCTGATCTGCCTTCGTCCACCTAAGTGCTAGGATTACAGGCATGTGTCACCATGCTGATTTACACAGCTCAGAACTGAACTCAGGTTCTCAGGGATACTCAGCAATATTCTACCAACTGAGCTAATCTCTGTGCACAAACATAAGCCCCACATTGCCCTATACTTTGCTGTAAAACTAGCACTCAGACGGCTAAGGCAGGTGGATCATGAGTTCAAGGTCAGCTAGACATGGGAGCAAGACCGGCCTGGTCTACATAGTGAGTTCCAAAACAGCTAGCCTATGCAGAAAGACCCTATCTCAACAACAAACAAACACACAAACACACACACACACACACACACACACACACACACACACACACACACACATAAAATCAGACAAACAAAAATGCCAGGCAATGGTGGGCACGCCTGTAATTCCAGCACTAGGGAGGACAGAGGCAGGAGAATCTCTGAGTTAGAGGCCGGTCTGATCTATAGTGAGTTCTAGGACAGCCAGGACTACAAGGAGAAACCCTGTCTCAAAAAACAAACAAATAAAGAAAAAGAGAAAGGGCTAGACAGAGGACTCAAAGGTTAAGAAAAAAGAAAGTTAAAAAAAAGAAAGAAAAATAACAACAAAAAAACCCCAAAGATACTCATCTTTATCTTCTTTGATTTAAATGGTAACAGGCATATGAGACTTTTATTTATTTACTATTTGTTTGAGACAGGGTCTCATGAGTCTTGACTGGCCTGGAACTTGCTTTGTAGATCAGTCTGGCCTTGAACTCAAGAGAACTCTCTGCCTCTACCTTCTAAAAGCTGGAATTAAACATGTACACAAACACAACCGGTCTTTATTTGTTTTAAGAGACAGGCTTCAGGGGCTAGAAAAATGGGTCAGCAGTTAAGAGCACTGGCTGCTCCTGCAGAGGATCCAAGTTTGATTCCCAGGACCCACATGGTAGCTCAAAACCATCTGTAACTCCAGTCCTAGAGGATACAACTTCCTCTCCTGGCCCCCTCAGATATATTCATGGTGTATAAATATCATACAGGCACAACACCCATACAGACAAAACAAAACAAAACAAAAGCTCTAACTATCTAGCTAGCTATCTGTATAGCACAGAATGGCTTTGTATTTCCCAGAAAGAAACATTAAACCATACTTACTTTGTGCCTCTTCGCTTGGATTCTCTCGAGCCTTCAGGAGCTCCTCAAATTCCACTGACATTGGCACACAGATCTGAGGGAAGAAGGTGCGGGCGGGTCTGTCAGTGTCTTAGGCATGTACAGAGCTAGATTTCTGATACCTGATTTGCCCTGAGTGTTCAGAGGACCTTACTACTATTCTGAACTTGCTTTGCTAAGTATAGCTGGGGAGATACTCACTGTCACAATACATCGCCTCCTAAGGAGGGACTACATTGGAGGAGGTAGTCTAGGAAAGATATTTGATGAGGAAGTTGGACATGAATCCTGAAGGTGTTCCTTAACTCTGGAACTGAGCAGTGTACCACTGTGCTGGTAGAAGACTTTAAGGCAGAATTAAAAGCACAATGTATTGGGTAGGAGAAATTTTTGTGAAAGATAAGGAGGAGGAAACAAGTTTGGGTAGGGAGGGAGAGTCTAGACTATGATGCAGACAAAATTTGGATCAAACAATAAAGAACTCTGGAGCAAAAATTACCCATCTCCCACTGGGCAGAAAAAAGCAGGCCCTCATGCCTTCATTGTGTTCCCCACTGGCTGAGAGATGTCAGGAAGGGTGTCAGCTAACTATGTTCACTGCAGTTACGTGGCAAGTTCGTTTTTAGAGACATCTGAACGGCATACCGCCGTTTTCCTTGCATCTTTCCTTATTTTGGGATAGGTTTGGGGAAAATACTTTGGGAGGCCATACCTCATTTGGGTGTTTCCGATGAAATTCCTTTATCTGCTTGAGTCTATTATAGAACTCAGCAAACTCATTGGGTCCTGAAATAGCATTGAGTTCCTCCTTTCGCAGTCTGCAAAATAATGACAAGTCCAAAGAGGATAAAGCACAAAGCCAATCCTCTCACCATGGCTCCTCAGAAGCTCTAACTGCGAGGGGGGAGGGGATGTGACTGTCACTTACCCATCTTTATCATCATACAAATCCCTCAGGTTCCCACTGACCTCCATGTACCTCTGAAAGGCAAACACAAATCCATCAGAGTGAAGCAATTGGTACAACAGGGCTAAGGAAACAACAAAGGCTTTCTTGGCAAAGCCCAAGGAAACCTCAGGAGATAGAAGGTCTTGAAAATTCCTCTACTTTTAAGTGACAGTCTAAGCGGGGAGTGGTGGCATACACATTTAATGCCAGCACTTGGAGGCAGAGGTAGGACATATGTCTTAAGAACCCGACACGGTTCAGGACTTACCCACGGGCAGAACTTACGCTGAGCCTCCGCACCTTCCCCTGCCAGCACTTTTCCCGCCCAGCCCGAGCTAAAGGGAAGAAGACAGCGGAGCACTCACATCTTGCATGGCCCGAGTGCGGTGATCGGAATTGATCTGGTCCCGTAGCTGGAGAAGGGCAAACAGACGCTGTTAGTTTGAGTTCTGGAGCCGGAAAGGCCACCCGAAGGACGAGCTTATCTAAGGTTTAGGTTTCAGGGGCTAGAGCAGAGGGACTGCTGGGCCCTCGGAGGATGTTACCGAGGCCAGAGCGCCGAGGCAGCCTAGGAGGAAGGCGAAGATGGGGCGCGGGGAGGGTCTGAGGCCGAAGAAAGCGCTCGGGGGCTCGGCACGGGACCGAGGCCCTCCTCCTGGGGCGGCCCCGACCACGGCCCACTCACCGTGGACTTCTTAGTGAGCATCTCTTTGGCCATGACATCCATGAGCCGTTCCTTCTCCTCATGATAGCGCCGTTGCTGCTCCAGAATTGTTTCCATTTTCCCCTAGCCGCGGCGCTTCAATTCAGACCACCAACACGGCCGGAAGCAGCCCCTGCCGCCTTGCGCGCCTGCGTCTCCGTCTCAACGTGCTGTATCCGGCTGCACCAAAGTTCCTTGGGTCCCGGAAGTGCATCGGGGGAACTCAAAAAAATTGAACACCACAAGGCGAGCACGTCGCGGCTCCCGGCAACACTGCTCCCTGCTGGCCGGGGGTGTGGAGAAGCGATGCTCAGCTCCTGAAGATCCCTCTAGAATGCCGGCAAAAATCCTGGAGGCAAAAATCCTGGGCAGTGGCGGCGCACGCCTTTAATCCCAGCACTGGGGAGGCAGAGCCAGGTGGATCTCTGTGAGTTCGAGGCCAGCCTGGTCTACAGAGAGAGAGAGAGATCCAGGACAGGCACCAAAACTACACAGCGAACCCCTGTCTCGAAAAACCGATAAATAAGTAAATAAAAAATCCCGGAGGCTGAGGGGTGAGAGGCAACTGGCGGCTTGGAGCATGCGGTGGTCAGCCCAGCCGGCAAGGACACAGTGGCATGGACCAGGAAGCTGAAGGATACAGAAAGGAAAGAGGAACTGGAATTTCTAGCTTTCAGGGTGTGACCTCTGGTGATGTTTTCCCCTTGTCTGGACTTTATTGTCTGTCCGTATGGTGAGAATGGCAGCGGTTTTGTTCTTAGCAAAACTCTAATGTGGAAACAGCCTTTGTTTATCAGCCGGGGACTCTTTAAGGGAAATGTGGTCTAGTCAAGCAATGAAATGCTTGCTATTCAGCACAGGTCAGCTGATTCTGTGTCCTTAATTCTTCTGCCTGTACCTCTCATGTGTTGGGATTACAGGTATGAGCCACAACACTTGGCCACAGTAATGGCTTAGAAATGAGATCTAGGCTGCCTTTCTTAAAAGCAGGAGGAAGAGGAATAAGCCAAAAAGATTAACAACACTCTGGAGGCAGAAACAGGCAGATCTCTGTGAGTTCTAGGCCAGCCTGGTCTACAGAGTGAGTTCCAGGACAGTCAGGGCTACATAGAGAGACCGGGTCTCAGGAAACAAACACAAACAGATCAAGACTTGAGATGGGAGTCAGTATAAAGAGCTTGTCTAGCATTCACTAGGAACAGGGTTGGAGCCATGTAGAGTGGCTCACACCTGTAATCCTAGCATTTAGGAGACTGAGGCAGGAAGGGAGCAAGCTCAGCCTGCACTATGTGGTGAGAGCGTATCTCAAAACAATAAACAAACGCCAGGCAGATCCCAGCCAGCCTGGACTACAGAGCGAGTTCCAGGACAACCAGGGCTACACAGAGAAAACCAGAAACAAAACAAAACAACAAAAAACCAGAAAGAGTGCTCAGATGAAATGTTGGGACTGGTAAATTCATGGAGACTAAGGGAAGATGAGTGAGTGGTTGCTTGGGATAAGAAGTGACTTAGAATGGACAGAAGGAATCCTTTTGGAGGCAGCAATAGTTGTACAACTCTACCAACTTTGCTAAAATTGAAATGAGCTGTAGCGCTTAAAGTGAATGGTATCTAAATTATAACCTCAATAAATCTCCTGTTTAAAAATATCTGGGGGGCTGGAGAGATCCATCAGCACTTAAGAGTATTAGTTGCTCTTCTAGGGGACCTACATTCTATTCCCAGCACCCTTATGGCAGCTAATAACTATTAGGACTCCAGTTCCAGAGGATCGATGCCCTCTTCTGGCTCCTATGAGCACTGCATGCATGTTGTGTACTTGTATATTTGCAGGCAAAGCACCTATACAGATGAAATAAAAATAAACCTGCTCACAGAGGCAGGTAGATCTCTGAGTTCAAGGCTAGCCTGGTCTACAGAGCTAGTTCCAGGACAGCCAGAACTCCACAGAGAAACGCTGTCTCAAAAAACCAAAAAACAAACGACTGGAGTTCCTATTACCTACTGAATAAGCGAGGCATCCCAGCACAGTCCTGTAACCACAGCTCCAAAAGCAGCAAAAACAGGAGGATGAGTGGGGCTTGCTAGATTCTAGGTTACCTAAGAAAACATAACTCTAGATTCAGGGAGAGACACTGCCTCAAAGGAACAGGTAGAGAAAGAGGACACCTGATACCCTATTCTGACTTCTGTGTATACATACATACGTGTATTCCTGTGGAACCTAAGGCCTTACGCTTTGTAAAAAGGTGCTTTATCATTAAAAAAGAAATCCCCCAATCCCTTGAAAATTTTCTTTATTTATACTCAAGATACAGCATCTCTCTTTCTTTTTCTTTAATACACATGCATTTTTATTTTTCTTTCCTTTTTTTTTTTTGGTCTTGGTTAGCCCCAAATTCACTATGTAGCCAAAGGTTATCCTGAACTCCCGCCTCTACCACCCAAGTACTGGGATTATAGGCACGTGCCAAGCAGGTAGTTACTATGTTAGTTTCAAAATAAATTAAGCCTGAGATGTTGACTCTGAAAAGTGTTCATACTAAGATAAATGAAACCGTTTACAGCTGACTCTCTTCCTCGGAGATGAGCAGGGGACCTAAGTAAAGCACGCCACTCTCTCACTCTGCCTCAGGTCTGAAGGCTCCCTTAAATGCTACTGTCCACACTCTCTACACACTGCTTCCAAACCAGTCACCAGGCCCCACCTTTCCCTTCCCGCTGCTACACATCTCATGATCGCTCCTGGCCCACAGCACCGGTGTTCTGAGCAGCCTGCTCATTTTACTCCGCTAATCCATTATTCAGACACAGCCAGAATGATCTTTCTCACACTGACCCTTGAATGCCCCTGCTTCAACATTTCCAAGTGCTGCTCACCAGCAGGGTGAGGTCTGTTTAAGTTGGCACCTGACTTTTGACCACCCCAGCTCGGCCTGCCATTTTGGTAGCTTGGCACTCCCTCCATAATGAATTACTTGTGTTTCCCCAAACCAGCCTATGTTTTGAGGCCGCTGGGCCTTTTCCCAGCTGTCTTCTGAGCTTAACCTGCTCTGCCTCAAAAAGTGTTTATTGAACTTGTAGCAAGAATTGGGAGTACAGGAAGCTGAGAAGGCAAGTGTGTAAGACAGTGATTGGTGGGAGAGAGAATGAGAAAAAAAAAAAGTAAACTTACAACTGTTATAAGCATGTACGTTGGGCATTCAGAAAAGTTTGTTGAAAATGTTGGGCTGTCAGTATGGCTCGGGGGATGCTGCCATGATTCCACTGAAAGGTGCTGGCCTTCAAGCCTTATGTTCCATCACCTGGGCCCCACGTGGTGGAGAGAACTGACTCCCATAAGTTAGTCCTCTGACCTCTACACTGTGCCACGGCAATCAAATTTTTAAAAATTACGAAATATAATTAATAAAAAGGCCAACTACAAACCGGGCGGTGGTGGCCCACTCCTTTAATTCCAGCTCTCTGGAGCAGAAGGCCAGCCTGGTCTGCAGAGCTGCACAGAGAAACTCCTGCCTCAAAAAAAAAAAAAAAAAAAAAAAGCCAACTACTGCAGATTGGCTCTCACTTGCCATCCTACCTCTCTGATGGCTGAGGCAGAATCAGCCTGGGCTATGCACTGAGAACCTCCTCACCCAGTAAAGCCCAACCGCTGTCAGTATAAAGCATTAATCTTGATCTTCAAGTGACTATCTTCGCGACTTCAGGCAGATGACCCGGGAGTCCGCACCTCTGAGAAACCGCAGTAAGGGCAGCCCAGGGTTAGGGAGTATTTCTTGAGATACTGCACTCTCACTGTTTCTTCTTGGCAGCCCCCTCCGCCCCGCCCTCCGCCTCCAGAGGCCGCGGTAGCCACCGGGGCGCGTACCTGCCGCCACAGTCCGACCGCGGAGACAGCGGCCAGGGGCCAACCCCAGACTTGGGCATCCAGCAGGAGAGTGCTCCACCCCATCGCCCCACTTCGGGGGACAGCCCCTCAGGCTCACTCCCGCCCCCGCCAGTGAATCACGAGAGGCGGGGCCATGACCCATTCATGCTGGGAATCGGATCCAGATGTTCCCCGGCGCGTGCAGCTGCATCCTTGCCTTTTTTGGCAAAAAAACGTGCGGCCGGCCGTGAGCAGATCCTGAGCCGCCCCCACTAATCCTTGGGTAGAGGGGGAAGGGGGCTGAGGGTCTGGGCCCAACTGGGGATCAGAACTACGTGCTTGTATGTCGAGTTGGGGCAGGGTTGTTGGGGTGGGGGAAGATGTGTACCAGACCAAGAAACCCACTGCCATCTGGCTCTGTTTGGCGCGTCTCCCAACCCCTCCCTCTCTCCCTCCCAGGGGAAAAAGCCCTCCACCAGCAGTGGGGAGGCCGGCCAAGCTAGAGAGGGACTAGTGTGGCTGCCAAAGGGGATCCTCTTCCTGGGGTGAGAATCCCCACCCCACGGCCCGCCCACTAGGAGGTTTACAAAAGCCTGACTCAGCCAAGGAACCTTCTTTCACCCTCCTGACAAATACACGGGGCCTGTGCTCCCTCACAGTTTTATTGCAGAATCTGGGAGTAGGGTGAGCCACCTCTCCTTCCTACCTCTGGGCAACATGGAGCTAAACTAAAATGGTACTCATAGGCTGGACAGCACCCTGTACCTTATGACCCTCTAACCAGGGAGCCCCTAATCTGCTATCCAGACAGTTTCAGCCCAGAGATAGGGGTGGAATGGGGATGAGATCAAACTAGGGTACAATCTATCTTTGAGGACTTCTCAGGCACCCATAGGAAACCTAAAAATCTACCTTCCAAGAAGTCTAGATTTAGGGAGGCCTAGGTCCAGGTTTGGGGGTTTGGGGTGTCTACTAAGGCCTTGATCTGGGGAAGGAGCTAGATCTGAGAACCCAAAAAAAGTATAGAGGGAAGGACCCATTTCTGCAGTCCAGACTTGGAGAGAGAGTTTAAGTCATGGGTGTTCCACACTGTGCAGGGGCAGGTGGAGGCCCATTCTAAGGAGGAGCTGGGTCCCAGAAGTGGTTCAGAAAAGGAGCCATAGTCTCGAACCCTTAGTTTGGGAAAGGGGAGAGTCAGGAGCCTTGGCTCAGGGCCCTGCTTGGCTGCAGCCCTGGCACAGAACTTGGTCTCCGTCTGGTACGAAGCCTTGGCCCACCAGGGAGGTGGAGCAGCGGGCACAGGAGAAGCAGCTGTGGTGCCAATGTCGGTCTTCGAAGGACACATACTTGCCTCCACCGAGTCCTGGAGGAAAGGTGGAGGTTAGCTCTGCAGATCTGGTGGCACGGCTGCCCCTCAGCGTCACCCAGTATCACAGCCGTGCCCTTACCTGCGGCCTCGCCACCGCTCCCGCCTGTGATGGGACGCTTGCAGCTGCTGCACTTGGGTGCAAAGAGTTCTCCGAAACAGGCCACACAGTAGGGATCATCATCCCGAGACGTGAACTGCTGCCCCGCAAGGGGCGTCTGGCACCCAGTGCAGACCAGGCATTCTCGATGCCAGGGTTGATCTCGATATGTTACTCCACCCTGAGTCAGCGTCTGTGGGGGCATCACCCATCAGCAGGGGAGTGAGTATTCCCACCCACAACAGGCCTTACCCTAAATTCAGAGGCCCAGCCCCCACCTTGCTGCAGCGGGCACACCGAGGAGCAAACTTGTTCTCATAGCAAGGCACGCAGTAGTGAGCGCCCTTGTCGGGCACGAAGGAGCGGGAACCTAGAGGCTGCTCACACCCACTGCACAGAAAGCAATGTTCATGCCATGTCTGGCCTCCATACTCCAGCTTCCGGGACCCTGTGGGAAACAGGAATCCCACTTAGGGTCTTTGTCCCGAGTTCCTGATGGTCACTCTGTCAATTCTACTCCCCAAGCTGTCCCCACTGCTTCTATAACCCAATAGAGTCGTATCCATGCACGTGAAGTAAGACTCCCGCCATACATGTTACATATGCCAACCTCTTCCCCCAAACTGGACAGGACAGTTCAGCACATGCTAAGCACATATGTTAAACCTTTCATGCCTCACACAGGACTGTCTTAACATACATCAAGCCTCTGTGTAAAATACAGGTTGTTTCAGTATATGCTAAATAAGTCATTATATATCAGAAATACCAGGGTTTTTTGTTTGTTTGGTTTTTTGTTTTTCTGGTTTGTTCCCCCCCCCCCCCCCCCCCCCCCCGCCCCCCAGACAGGGTTTCTCTGTGTAGCTCTGACTGTCCTGGATCTCACTCTGTAGACCAGGCTGGCCTCGAACTCACAGAGATCCACCTGCCTCTGCCTCCCAAGTGCTGAGATTAAAGGCGTGTGCCATCACAACCTGTCCAGAAATACCAGTTTAACATTCAGGCAAGATCCCATTAACCAGGCAACTCTGCCGACACAAAGCCTAATGCCCTAGGAATGACAGGTTCAGTACATGCTAAGCCTCTGCATCTTCTAGGTCTATCACTCTCCACACATGCTAAGTCCTCACATACCTATTAGGCATGCAGGACAACATACATTTTAAGCCTACAATCGATCTCTGCACACAAAACTTCAATGCAGCAGCCCTGAGGATCTCAGTATATCCTTAGCTCTCACATGTACCAAACATGCAGGTCTTCACACAAGCTAAGGCCTGTGTGTGTGTCAAGTATATCAGCTGCTACGCACATAAGTCCTTAGGTGTTCACTAGGCCTATTGGTCTAATACACACTAAGCCTTCAGCTTGTCAGTTTTGGTACCCGCCAAGCTTCTGTGTGTAGAGCTGGGTGTGCCAATCCCTGTGTGCATTAAGCTCTCAAGAGCATACATGTACAATAGATCCATACATGTTCCAGGAACATACAGTGTGTCTAGACCTCTACCCACACCAAACCTCATGGGAGTATGAGCCGTGCAGACGCAAAGACCCTGCTCAGACGGCAGTTCCCGAACCCAGGATGAGGCCCTGGAACATACCAGGCATGACAGTCTCCCCACAGGCTGAGCACTGTGAAGAGAAGGCTGTGCAGTAGCACTCGTTACAGAGCAGTTCGCTGTCCTGGCAGGTGAAGGGCTCATCAGCCAGGGAGCGTTGGCAGCGGCAGCACCGGAAGCAGCCCTCGTGGAAGTGGTGATCCTCGTAGAACAGTTCCTTGGGGAGACAAAGCAGGGGCTTGGTGGATTTGTCCTTGGCCCCTCCCACCAGTCTGCACTTACTCTCACCCTTCTGGTCTGGTCCTTACCCTTGAATCATGCCCGATGAGCTGTTGGCACTCGGCACAGGTGTTGGCGAAGGTGTTATCATAGCAGGGCACGCAGTAGGGGCCACTGTCTGTCTGGATGTATTTGCGGCCATACAAGGACTCACTGCATTTGGCACAGTCAAACGCCTCGCTCATGGTGGTGATGCCGAGTAAGCCCTGTTAGGAACACAAGATGGGGCAGAGTCCACCTAGAAGGGCTCTAGCATGGCCCTGGACAAGAGCTCTTTGCATTCAAAGAAGAGAGGAGGCATAGAAGGTGCCAGATCACAGCAGGTGGGAATAGGCCTGCTCAGGGAACCAACCGACTAGTCTCAGGTTCAGTGCACGCTTAAATCTTGGGTGTTTATTTCTATATTTAACTGTGAGGATAGGAAGGGGTCAGGAAAAAAATCAGGAAGCAGAAGTTGTTTTCTTATCTAGGCCCTGGCTGATCTGGGGGGAGGGGGCTTTTCCTGGGTCAGTGACTCATTTCCTGCCCCAGCCTGAGTTTTGCTTCCACTCTCTGTACTGTCCCCAGGGTGCCAAAGGCCAGGACAGGGGGCCACCAACCCTACTGTATATAGACAGAACCTTCACCTTCCGACTCCTGGGATGGGACCATAGGCGTTTAGCTACAGGGACATTTATCTAGAGTTCTGATCTGGGGAGCTACGGGTAGAATGGGCTGTTCTGTGTGCTCTCCCGCCCCACACAACTCCCCACCGATGCAGGAAATAATGGAATGCTAGAGAGATGCTTGACTGATGAATGGCGGTGTGAGAAGTTGGGCCTCCCCTCCCAGGAGAATCAGCCAAGCAAGCACTCGAGAGCTCAGCCTAGGTTCAGGCAGGAAGGAAATCCTGCAAGCTGGACATGGTCAGACTTTCCAGCTGGACCCTCAGCCTCATCCCCTGCCACCTCTGCTGAGTCCCTGTCACACCAGCCTGGGCAGTCTTGGCTGCAACATCTGCTGCAGCTGTGGCCAGATGTCAGCTTTTTGCCAGCTAGAGGGAGAAAAAAGGGGAAATCTGGCATGCCTGGGGGTGGGGGGCAGCAGGGAAGTGGAGACAGAGAGGGGGCTGTGTGCCCCCTGCCACCTCCGCCAGGTGTCTCTACTGGTAGCTCTGCAAAGACCCAGGGTCACGATATGTACTTCCCCTGCATCTGGACAGCCTCTGCCTACCTTTCCTGATTCCCCAGGGTGTAAGGCCAGAGACGTGAAAGGTGAGAAAACAGGAGCCCCTGGAGCCCCAGTCAGGCTCCTTCTTGATGGAGAGTAAGAGAAGGGGAGCCCAGAGAGCGGTTGCTGCAGACACCCAGCCCCCCACCAAACCTCAGACACTTTCCATTTTCTCAGGAACAAAGCATGTTTGTGGGATGAGGTCACCCACACAGCTGCCTCTGGAACAGGAGCAAGAAGAATAGGGGGGCAGGGAAGTGGGGTTCCCTGTCTTTTCTGCTGGCCAATGCCAGTCTCCCGGCCCTGAAGTCAGAGTTCCCCGGCTCCACCCTCCTCCACCGCGAAGCATGCTCTCCAAGGGCTGGGTAGTGAAGAAGATCCCCTCGGACCCACAGGAAGGGGATGGTGTCATTGTTGCATAGGAGACGGGGGAAGTTAAAGGGGTGCACAAAGGAACTTACCAACCCCCTTCTCCATAGCTGTACTGGCTTAAGATGAAGGAACAGCCTTTCTCAGCAAGCACAGCAGGAAACTCTCACAGAACACCTTGGTCTGCCTTAGAGTACAGACTTCAGGCGGCAACAGATGTCTCAAACCTGGAGGGCCTGCCTCTTTGGGGCTTATGAATTTGGACTTTCCCTTCCACAGAGTGGGAGAACACCCGGGTTCACACCCAAAGCAGGACACAAGGCCACCAAAGCTGGAGAGTCCTCAGGGTAGAGGTTATGCTGAAGGGTGGAGAGAGCCCCCTCCTCCTCATGCCCCTCCCTGTCATTCAGACCCTGGTTTCCTCTGGCCCAGCATCTGAGGATTGCCTGGGCTGCTAGCCACTGGACATCGGACGGCCATACAGGTGGCCTGTGGCCATGTGCTCACTGGGAAGTGCCCTAGGTCCTTTCCTTCCTTCTGGATTTGGCCAGCAGCCGCAGCTGCAGCAGCAGCTACCTTCCCAGGCCCAGGCTAGCCCTGGATCCACCCCCTCAGAGCCAGTCACCGTGCTGAGATGAGGCACCCCAAATAGCGTATGGGCGTGCCTTCTGCTTCCTTCCCAGAATCCCCCAATCCCTTAATCTATGGTTCTAATGAGGACAAAGTGAAGGACACCACCAAGGCCCACCTGTCTCTCCCTATCCCTGTTCCTCCTCAGTCTCTCTCCATTCTCTCACAAGGCTGGAGGACTAAAAGGATGAGCCAGTCTCTATTCCTTCCTGGCTGGTGGCAGGCAGGGTTCAGAGGGGACAGTGGATTTCCCAGATGACCCTCATCTGCTATCCCCACCAATGCACACATCTCTACACCACACACACACACACACACACGCACGCACGCACGCACGCACGCACGCACGCGCGCGCGCGCGCACACATACCATATATATTCACCAGTGAACTTCCTGGAGCTGAATGGCGGAACTCCTTTTTCTCTGTGGTGTTCAGTGTATAGCAGCTTGCTTGAGTCATGAAATAAAAACCTGACTTGGGATCCTGTGACCTTGGGTACATACTTGTCATGCCCTGAGTCCATCTAGTTAAATGAGATAACATCACCTCCCTCTTCCGGGACTGCTGTCAGGCATAAATGTGATAATCCCTGTAAAGCATCTGGCAGAAGGTAAGTCCCAGGTAAATAATAGCCAGGTGTATTTTTTACTACAAGCCCCTCACTCCTACTGGAGACAGACAGTGGGTCTCAGGAAGACCTGAGGCAGGGGTTGGCCTGGGACGTGACTGAGACGGTCTCAGTGAAGGCTGAGCCTCTGCTCTAGCTGAGGGGACCACTGGGGCCAACAGTAGCTGGGGAGAGAAACCCTAAAGATCTTAGATGGTGTACACACTTGTATGACACCTTGTCATTCACAAAATATACATACCACCACCGCATCACAGCTCACAAAAGGCAGGCAGGACAGAATCTATCTCCTCTTTAGAGCTCAGCACAAGACACCAAGGGCAGGCTAGGGGCATGGCCAAGGCTGCTCAGGATAGCAGAAGTGTCCTGTCCTCCGGTGAGTAACTCTGCCTAGAAATGCTTTGGTAATGGTGAAAGGGGCAGTCGGCCTTTAAGGGTGATGTGTGTGTGTGTGTGGGGGGGGGTGTACACGAGGGACACACAGACAGGAGAGTCACTAGAGCTGGCTCTCCTCCTCCTCAGCTGCCAACCCTGCCATTGGAAGACACCAGAAGTCTTTCCAATTACCCATGCCAACTGCTCAACCCTTTCTCACTGTGCCCCCGCCCCGCGCAAGTCCAGGAGGACCCTGGCCAGGCCTTGCAGCTGTGAGTTGGAATCAGAGCAGACCCTTCCCCCTCGACAGGAGACTAGAGGGGAGAAACTAGCGCCCCCCCAACCCCAAACTCTCCGCCCCTCTTCCCCACGGGGCCTGGAAGTCAAAGCAGTTTAGGGAAAAGGGGGGTAGGGAGCAGATCCAGCAGCTGCTCGGAGGGCAGGAGAGGAACATTTCATTCACCCCCGAGTCCCCCAGGGCTGAGGCAGAGCGTCCAAGATTTGAGTTTAAAAATAAATTGGCGCTGTCTTAGTGTCTGTGTGTACATGGGGCTCTTTCTTGAGCTCAGCTTTACAGCCTCAGGTCCTCGGCCTCCTGGGGGATGGGTTGGCGGAGAGTCAATTTCCCCCAAGCTCTGCCTCCACCTTTTCAGGCCTGAGGCTGCTAGCTGTCATTGAGTGCACCTAGGAGTCTCTTCTTCCGCGAACTCTAGCCTCCACTCCGCACTTCTCAGCAGCCTTGGGCTGCTGTCTTTGTGTTTGGGTGGGGGTGTCCCTGTATCTCTGGAGCTGTGTCCCAGTGGGACCCCCCACTCTGGGGATATCTATTCCTCTGCAGCCAAGTCTTGGTCTCTCAGCGTCTCAGACTCTCAAAGTCTCTTTAGGCCTCAGGGAGGCAGATTTAGCACCAGTCTAACAAGCTTCAGCCTCAGGGCCCTCCAAGGCCCTGGGAAGGGCGCTAGCAATGAGTTCCCTGGGGTCATACAGTGGCTTCTTAAAACGCTCTACAGAGCCCGGGTCCCCGCAGTGCCTCGAGAACTTTGTCGGTCCATTCTCTGCACTAGTTTGAATGGTTCCTGTAGCCTCCTGGGGCGCGCGTCCTTGTCTGTTCTACCAGGCTTCCTAAGAGCCTCAGTTTCTCCAACCCTCCTGATCTCTCTAGCTTTTCTAGTTCAAACTTGGTCCCCTCCCCCGGCAACTCTGGCGGTTCCCTCCCGGCACCGGGAGCGCGGAGCCCTGAGGTCCGTGCTTGCGCGCGTGGTCCGGAGCTCGGGGTGCTTGGGGGTGTCCCAGCAGGGGACAGTGGCAGGGGCCCCCGGCAGCGACCCCGGCCCAGCGCAGCGCAGGCACTAGGGCTGGAAGACGGGGCGGGGGACGCTCACCTCGAAGCGGGCGCGGGAGCCGGGTGCGCGCGGACGTGGGTGCGGCCGGGAGCCGATCGCCCGGCGGCTCCTACCTGCGGGCCAGGCCGAGCGGACCGAGGGAGCCGCGGAGAGGTAGCCTGCCGCGACAGACTGTGTGGGCGAGTGGGCGCGCGGCCCTAAGCCTCCGAGGAAGTGCGCCGGCCCGCCCCGCCCGGACCCCGCCCCCGGGGCCCCCAACCCGCCCGCGGGGGCCAGACCCCGCCCCCCTCCTGCCTGCCGCGAGCCCGGCCCAGCCGAACCTGGCGCTCCGACCTTCTCGGCCCCGCCTTACCCGTCCCCTGCAGCCTGGCCCGCCCCCGCCCCCATGCCCCTTCGGACCCAGGGGAACTGCTGGAAGCGATCCCAGGCCAGGGGTGCAGGACCAGGGTCCATCTGGGGACCAAACCCCCTCATCTTCTCTTCCTAGCTCATCCCTAGATGTTACCCTAAACCTTAGCTTACGAAGGAGGCCGTAATCCAGCCTGCGGGAGGGGGTGGGTTTGAGTCTGCTGGCATAGCCTTACCAGTGGAGATCAAGGTATTTTCTATCAACTTGGGCTAAAGAGAAAGAGCCTTTATCCTCCTCAATTTCAAAGGGCTTTATTCTATAACTGAGTGGCGAAAGCCCAGGCAACAACCTTCCTGCCCTCAGCTGTGCCCTGGCACTGAGGTTTCTACAGTGCCCCAGGAATAGTTTTGACCTTTCAGGCTCAGGGAGACCCCAATCCTTGGCCCCATGAGCTTTGGGTTTTTTGGGAGGGGTGTGAAGAATGTGAGTGGTTCTGCTGCTGCAGGCAGGGGTGGTGAAGGAGAGGGGAGGGAACTTCTGCAGTTTCTGACCCTCCAGCTTCTATCCTGTGCCGGGAAGGGCGGACTAGAGCCTGCCAGGGACACAAGGCCCATCCAGGTCCTTGAGGCCACCCCCCCTGGGATCCTCAGGCTTGTCACTAGGAATAAATAGCCTAGATCTGGAGGGCAGAGGTGGGGGTGGGGGTGGGGAAGCTTTGTTGTGCTGTTTGCAAAACAAGGGACAACAAACTGAAGCTGGAAATAACCTTTGTATCCATGGTGATTTGGATGCCCAGAGAGGCTCCCCTGATCCGAGGCTGCATCCAGCCAAGTTTGCACTGCAGAGATTAAGACCCCGACCACCCCCTCCAAGGCTGGTGAGGACCCTCCCCTTCTGTAGCATGTGTCTGGTTCCTAGGTCCTAAGACAGCCCCCGGGCCAGGTTGCCTTTCAAAATTAAATGGTTGCTTATTATGTTGTTGAGTCTTAAATTGCAAGCGCATTGAGGGCAGAGGTTGGGTCATTTTTGTTGACTACTGTATTCTTGGTATCTACTCCAGTGCTTGGCAGGCAATAAATAACTGATGAGTGAATGACATACACACACTGCTTCAGTTTGGATCCCCCTGCCGCGCCCCTGCCAAACACCTGTTATCAGGAGTCCACTGCGTGAATGGACAGTCTGAGGGCAGGCCCTTTCTCTGAAGGGATACAGCAAGCACTATTCCTCGTTGGAGTAAATAGCAAGAGGAGGTCTGTTCTGGGATGAGGTGATGGCAATAATGGGAGTTGTGCTGGCTAGTTTCAACTTGACACAAGCTAGAGTTATCTGAAAGGAGGTAACCTCAAATGAGAAAAATGCCTCCATAAGATCAGGCTGTAGGAAAGCTGTAGGGCATTTCCTTCCTTCCTTCCTTCCTTCCTTCCTTCCTTCCTTCCTTCCTTCCTTCTTTTCTTTTCCTTCTCCTCCTTCATCTTCTTCTTGGTTTAATTTTTCAAGACAGGGTTTCTCTGTGTAACAGCTCTGGCTGTCCTGGAACTTGCTTTAATAGACCAGGCTGACCTCCAGCTCACAGAGATCCACCTGCCTCTGTCTCTGGGATTAAAGGCCTGCACTACCATGCTAGCTTGGACATTTTACGGGGGGAGGACCCAGCCCATTGTGGGCGGTGCTATCCCTGGGCTGGTGGTCCTGGGTTCTATAAGAAAGCAGGCTGAGCAAGCCAGTAAGCAGCACCCTTCTGTGGCCTCTGCATCAGATCCTGCCTCCAGGTTCCTGCCTTGTTTGAATTCCTGTCCTGACTTCCTTCAGTGATGGACTATGATGGAAGTGTAAGTCAAATCAACCCTTTCCTCCCCAAGGTGCTTTTGGTCATGGTGTTTCCTCACAGCAATGGAAAACCCTAACTAGGACAGGAGCCTTCAGAAAGGGGAGAGTTGGGCTGGTGAGATGGCTCAGAGGTTAAGAGCACTGGCTGCTCCTGCTAGAGATTCCGAGTTCAATTCCCAGCAACCACATGGTGGCTCACAACCATCTGTAATGAGATCTGGTGCCCTCTTCTGGTGTGCAGGCAGAAAGGGGAAAGTTATGAATGCGCAGTAAGGGTGCTTCATCTTAGAATCTTTGTTCTTTCCTTGTGACTTGAAGTGCTACTGAAGGGCTTTATCAAGAGCCAAGACTCTGTGAGCTCCCACTTTGCACTGTTCCCTAAACATGCATGCATGTAATATATGAATGTATGTAATTATCCAATAAACACACACACACACACACACACACATATATATATATAACACTATATACATGCATATAGTGCATGTATGTGTGTGGTGTGTGTATGTGTTTGCCTATGTGGGCTCACATGTGTGTGCTAGGTGCTACGTGGAGGTCAAAGGATAACCCTCTGGAGTCAGTTCTCTAAGACGGCTTAGTGGCTAAGATTGCTTGCTGTTAGCTTTCCAACACCATGACCAAAAGCAAGTTGGGGAGGAAAGGGTTTATTTCAGCTTACAATTCCACATTACAGAATCACCCAGGGAAGTCAGGGCAGGAGTGCAAACAGGGCAGGAAACTGGAGGTAAAAACTGAAGCAGAGACCAGGGAGGAACGTGCTGCCTATTGGCCTGTTTCTCATGACTGCTCAGCCTGGTTTTTTTTTTGTTGTTGTTGTTTGTTTGTTTATTTGTTTTGGTTTTTCCGAGACAGGGTTTCTCTGGGTAGTCTTTGGTGCCTGTCCTGGACCTTGCTCTGTAGACCAGGCTGGCCTCAAACTCACAGAGATCTGCCTGGCTCTGCTTCCTGAGTGCTGGGATTAAAGGCGTGTGCCACCACTACCCAGTTCAGCTTGGTTTTTTTATAGCACCTAATACCACTAGTCCAGGGGTGGCACTGCCCACACTGAGCTGGGCTCATCCACGTCAGTCGTCAATCAGCTAGTACACTGCTCTTCCTGAGACCTGAGCTCAGTTCCCAGCATCTATGTACTGTCATAGCAACTTGTAACTCCGGGAATCTGACGACCTCTTTTGGCCTCCCCAGACACCAGCACCAGTGATGTTCATTCATGCAAACACAAACATATACATATAAATAAAATTAAATAGCTGTGTGGTGGTGGTGCAGGCCTTTAATCCCAGCGCTCTGAGACAGAGGCAGTGGGATCTCTGAGTTTGAGGCCAGCCTAGTCTACAGAGTGAGTTCCAGGGCAGCCAGGGCTGTTACACAGAGAAACTCTGTCTCAGAAAACAAAAAAACAAAGTAAATAAATAAACAAAACAAAAAAGAAGTAAAATAAATAAGTTATGAAAAATTGGGGGGGCTGGAGAGATGGCTCAGAGGTTAAGAGCACTGACTGTTCTTCCAGAGGTCCTGAGTTCAATTCCCAGCACCCATATGGTGTCTCACAGCCATCTGTAATGAGATCTGGCACCCTCTTCTGTGTACATAATAAATAAATAAATCGTTAAAAAAATTTGGTGTGTATGTGAGTGTGTGTGCACGCGCGCGTGCATGCGCGCTCTCGTACATGAATATGCATGTAGGACGTAAGGGACAACTTGTGGGAAGGAGTTCTTTCTTCTTTTTTTTTTTTAGTTTTTCGAGACAGGGTTTCTCTGTGTAGCTTTGCACCTTTCCTGGAACTCAGCCTAGGCTGGCCTCTAACTCACAGAGATCCACCTGCCTCTGCCTCCCGAGTGCTGGGATTAAAGGCGTGCACCACCACCGCCTGGCCGAGTTCTTTCTTCTTACCATGTGGTTCCTGGGAATAGTCAGGCTTGGTGGCAAGTACTTTTCCCCACTGAGCCATCTTGCTGGGCACTTTTCCCCACTGAGCCATCTTGCTGGCCCTGCGGTCAGTTAGATCCTGCCAGCGTAGGTTTAGGGCATTGAACTCAGGTCACCAGACTCACACAGCAAGTGCTTTTCCCCGATGAGCTGTCTCACCAGACCTAGATACACCATCTAATCCTCTTCTCAAAGGTCAGAAAATGGTGCTCATTTTGGCAGCACAGATACTAAAATTGGAATGACAGAGAAATTAGCATGGTCCCTGTGCAGGGATGGCATGCAAATTCACAAAGGACTCCATATTCTTGAAATGAAATTTTATTATATACTTATTTGTTCCATTAAAATCCGTTAACCTGTAGCAGTAGCAACAACAAAACAAAGACGGGGAAATGGAGGCTGGGCCTGTGGTGGCGCACACCTTTAATCCCAGCACTCAAGAAGCAGAGACAGGCAGTTGTCTGTGAGTTCGAGGCCAGTCTGGTCTATACAGCCAGCCTCAGCTCCATAATAAGACCCAGTGGAGAAAGAAGGGTGGGGGAGAGGGAGAGGAAGGTGAAGGGGAGCACAAATACATTAAGTAACTAACAAGAATGGCAAAGTCAGGGTTGAAACCCAGACTGTCAAATGTCAACGCTTCTCATGTCCAAACTGATCCTAACCATCACCTGGGCAGTCAGTGAACCTCTGACAGGCAGTCTCTTTCTCGAAGATATCACTGTTGAGGAGTGACTAGACCATGTGGTAAGTCTTCAGTAGGTGGGGAACCCTCCTCTCCTCCCTTTTCAGGTCAAGTACTAAGGTTTTGCTGTTAGGACTTGGAGTCTAAAGGTCAGGGAAAGTTAGGAAATCTTTGGCTCTGGCCAGCCTGTGGGGGGAGGGAGAGACTACCCAGGATAGGGGGCTGTGTCCTTTCTCCTCTCCATTTCCAGTGGCTCACATTTCCCTCTCACTTTCTTTCCATTGGCCCAGGAAGACGTGCCCCAGGGAGTTCAGGGATCAGCCTCATGGACTCTCTGTCCCTGTCACCCATCTGTCCTCTCCCCCTTCTTGGGAAACAGGTGCGTCTGAGTCAGAGCTGGAAGCAGAGTGCTTGGCCACTGGCTTAGGTTAAATGGGATATTTGTTTCTTCCCAACCCAGGGCATGCCTACATACCCTTTCCTATCTCAGGCTCACAGAGACCCATCTTGTCTTCTTGCCTTGCAAGACCTTTCAAAAGAAGGCTCTGGTCACTTCTGCCAAGCCGTTCATGACTTCCTCTGGGTGCTGAATCACTCCGGTGCCTCTAACCACAAGACCTCCTTCCTCCAACTAAGAAAATGCCCTTTCCTCCTTGGGTATATTGCTCACTCTTGACACTGCAGTGCCCAGAGCAGGCCTCAAGCTTAACAAACACTCTCAAATCTAGAAACTTGCTTTGTGCTCACAAGCCCACAAGGGTGTCATAGAGGCTAAAATGAGAGACTGTGGCAGAGAACAGGCTGGGAAGCAGAGAGAGACCATGGTTAAATGCTGTGCGTAGGAGCCATGTGTATGGTAGATATTACCTTTTCTGGTCTTTAAAAAACCCCATGTGAAGCCGGGCAGTGGTGGCACACGCCTTTAATCCCAGCACTCGGGAGGCAGAGCCAGGCGGATCTCTATGAGTTCGAGGCCAGCCTGGGCTACCAAGTGAGTTCCAGGAAAAAGGCGCAAAGCTACACAGAGAAACCCTGTCTCGAAAAAACTAAAAAAAAAAAAAAAAAAAAAAAAAAAAAAAAAAAAAAAAAACACACACAAAACCATGTGAACCAGTTATTGCTATCCCTTTACAAAGATTTTGATAATGTGGCTCTAAATGCCAAACTAAAAGGTGGTCGTTGTTCAATGCCAATCTAGGACTAACTCTAGAGTCCCCCACCTCCAGGGTCCAGCAATGGCTTCCCCAGATGCTGCTGGTCACTAATACTTCTTCAGGGGACACGGCAGGAGTGGATACAGCAGCCATCTGGTCATTGTCTCAGATAGCTAAGCTTCTTGAGATGAAGCTGGAAAGGTGGTCCCAGATCATGAAGTAGCTTGTTTTTCAAGGATGACAAACAAAATGGAATTTTCCTAACGCATGTCGACCTAACTGGGCAAAGACCAAGTGTGTAGAGACAGGAAAAAACTTTTCATACTGTGACCTTTTTCATATTTCACTTGCCCCCTGGACTCTCTGAAGAGGGTTTCCAGGGCATTCTTCAGCTTGGAGAGGTGATCAGTGTCATGTAAAATGGATGCAGTTAAAGACCCTGCATAGTGGTGCAATGCTTTTAATTCCAGCACTCGGCAGGAGGATCTCTGGGAGTTTGAGGCCATCCTGGTCTACCTAGTGAGTTCTGTGACAGCCAGAGCTACATAGTGAGATCTTGTCTCAAAAAAACAAAAACAAACAAAAAGATCCTGTTGAAGATTAGCCTCACAGAGTGGAACAGAATCCAAATGCCAACAGATAAAGAAAATAAGAATGAGAGAGAGGGGGAAGCAAACAACCCCAAAAAGAGAGAGGCAGAGCAAACAACCCCAAATGCTGCTTCTTGCTTTGCTGGGTCTGACTCTCTCATGGGCTACTTAGAGGTAGCTTTAGTGATTTAAAAATAACACTGATAGCTGGGCATGTTGGTGCATACATGTAACCCAAGCACTCTGCAGATGCAAGAGAATCACTGTGAGTCTGAGACCAGCTTGGTCTAAGTGGGTTTCAGGGCAGCCAGACCCTGCCTCAAAAACACCAAACCAAATCAGACTAAGCCAAACCTAGTAAAACCAGAAAAGAGACAAAACAATTTTATTGTGAACCTGCTAACAAGTAAACAAAGCATTAAGCACTTTAAATATATCATGTCATTTAAGCCTCACAATCCTGTGGGTATAACATTATTTTATTATTTTACAACTAGATGCAGATACCAAACCTCAGCACAACTACCTTGCCTTGGTTAAGAGCAGGGGTGGGATCAGAACACTCCCACCACAGTTCACGGCTCTATCCATCACATTATACTACCTTACACTAAGTCAGCCAGCTAGCCATTTCTTTGATGGTTGTGAAGGACGCAGAACTTTATTGCTATGAGATGATTCTCCTCTGCGATGCTTATAGATACAATTCTGCAACTCAGTGCCCTTGACACAACTATGAGCAAGACCAGCGTGCTATTATTATCTTCGCTTTATGGGTGAGAAAAATGGTGCTTGTTAAAGTCAAGAAACCTGCTCAAAGTCATACAGCTAGTAGTCAGTGGTAGAGCCAAAGGCAGTTTTAAAGTGCTCTTTTATTGTAAAACTCACACTATTTCTAGTTCTTGTTTCTTTTCTTTCTCTTTCTTCTCTTTTCTCTTCTCTTCTTTTCTTTTCTTTTTGAGACAGGTTTTCTTTGTGCAGCATTGGCTGTGCTGGAACTAGTTCTTTTTTTTTTTTTTTTTTTTTGGTTTTTCGAGACAGGGTTTCTCTGTGCAGCTTTGCGCCTTTCCTGGGACTCACTTGGTAGCCCAGGCTGGCCTCGAACTCACAGAGATCCGCCTGGCTCTGCCTCCCGAGTGCTGGGATTAAAGGCGTGCGCCACCACCGCCCGGCTGGAACTAGTTCTTTAGACCAGGCTGGCCTCGAACTCACAGAGATCCACCTGTCTCTGCCTCCTGAATGCTGGGATTAAAGGCCTGTGCTACCATCACCCGTTTTTTTTTTTTTTTTGAGACGGGTTTTATTTCACTATGCAGTCCTAGCTGGCCTGGCAATCACTATGTAAGACCAGGCAAGCCTTGAACTCACAAAAACTCGCCAACTTTTGCCTCCCGAGTGCTGGGATTAAAGGCGTGAGCCACCATGCCCTGATCTATTTAGGATTTTAACCCCAGCCAAGTCGCAGGTGACTGCGCATGCGCACACGCAAACTGAGCTCAGCCAGAGGGCAGTGCCAGCCACGTGTTCCCAGATGCCAACTTGCGGGCACGAGTGAAGGCAAGGTCTCCGGACCTGTGGACACTCTCGGGCGGAAAAGAGAAGTGGGGAGGAAATCACGAGACTCTATCTAGAAAACTACATCTCCCAGAAGCCTCCTGTCCGGGTTGCTTGGGCGGGGCTGTATTTCCGTTAAAGTAGGCTTCTGATAGGCTGCCTTGGTGTGCAAGCCTCAAGCGGCTGGGCCTGCTTCCGGTAGTCTTGGCGTACGCTGCTGCTCAGGTAGTGTGGTATCGGTGGTGGGGTTTGCTGAGCGTTTTCTAGACCCCAGGAGGCATGGCGGCGGCTTTTCGCAAGGCAGCCAAGTCCCGGCAGCGGGAACATCGAGAACGAAGCCAGGTAGGCCGGCGCAGGCCCCATGGACGACGGCCGGTGGCCCCTGCCCCCTTGCTCTCCCAGCGTCGGGATACTGGCTGGCGCATCTGCCTTCTGTAAATACTCGACACAGGGGGCCTGACCCCAGCGTGCCTTGTCGGGGAGACCTGGGCACCTGGTTAGGGGGATGGTCATTGTCTACGGTAGGAGGTTCAGTGGGTAATTGAGTGAGACGAGGTGTGTCGATTGCCCCCTGTGACCAGCAGCTGTAGGCGCCCCGCATCCGACTCATGCAGGAGTTGTGACCGAGGATAGGTGTTCCTAAAGTGGGTCCACCTTTCGGCGTGGGATTTGTGGTTCATGTAGATCTGTCACATGCTTCACCCTGAAATCGTGGTACTTTCCTTCTCCCTTCTGGAGAGTGATTTGACCATTTATAAACTATGGGGACACGATAGCCCAGGTCTGTAATTGAAGCTACTCAGGAGGCCAAGGCAGAAGGATCACAAATTCAGGGCCTGGCTGGGCAACTTAGATCTGTCTCAAAATAAAAATCCAGAAAAATTTCTAGACATACAGCTCAGTGGTGAACTGTTTGCCTAGCAAGATTTAGTCCTCGGTAGGAAGAAAGGAAGGAGGGAGGGAGTCCCCTATTAAATTTTACTTAGGATAAATAATTGTGGAGTTTCTAAGGAGAATGTGTCAGTGTGGGGATATGTGATAGAAAGAAAGATATATCCAGACTCACATTATCCACTTTATTATTCTCAGAAATCACTGGTTCAAACAAGCCTTTAACGGCTGGAGAGAGAGCTTAACCATTAAGAGCACTTGGCTGCTGTATCAGAGTTCAAATCCCAGCACCCACCTAGTAGACTCACAAATACCTGTAACTCCAACTCGAGGAAATCCCACACTCCCTCCTGGCTTCCACAGGCTCTGCACTCACATGCTCATACACATAGACATACACAATTATACTTCATTCATTCATTTATTTATGGTTTTCGAGACAAGAGTTTCTCTGTGTAACAGCTCTGGCTATCCTGGAACTTGCTCTGTAGACTAGGCTGGCCTTGAACTCACAGAGATTCACTTGCCTCTGCCAAGTACTAGGATTAAAGATGTGCACCACTACCTCCCAGCTTTAATTTTTTTTAAATCAAAAAGTTAACTTATGTGTGTATATGTGTGTCTGTGGATGGGTGTGTGCACATGAGTGCATATGCCTGTGGGAGCTCCTCCTGGAGCTGGGCTTACAGGTAGTTGTGACATGCCTGATATGGGTGCTGGGAAATTAACTTGGATCTTCTGGAAGAGAAGAATGTGTTTTTAACTGTTAAGCTATCTCTTTAACACTTCAAATACTTTTTTCTTTCTTCCCTTTTTTTTTTTTTTAGCAAGAGGATCAAGAATTTAGGATAATCCATTAAGTTTTAGGACACTCTGGGCTATGTGAAACAGTATCTCAACAGAACAAAAGGGGCTGGTAAAATGGCTCAGCCAGTCCATGCTGCACGAGCCTAGGGACCCGAGAAAGAGCCTCAGAACTCTATAAAGGCAGAAGGGAAGAATGGACTCCTGTTTTCGAAACTTTGTATTTTTGAGACTGTAACTTAATCACAACATTTCTCCTTCCCTTCTGCCCTCCAAACCCTCTCATGTACTGATTTTTGCTCTTTCAACTTCTTGGCCTCTTTTTTGAGAATGAACTCTTTTTTTTGTTTTGTTTTGTTTTTTGAGACAGGGTTTCTTTGTAGCTTTCAAGCCTGTCCTGGAACTTGCTCTGTAGACCTTGAACTCACTGAGATCTGCGTGCCTCTGCCTCCCAAGTGCTGGGATTAAAGGCACACACCACCACCGCCTGGCTAAGAATGGACTCTTAAGAAGTTGTCCTCTGACCCCCATATATGCAGTGGCATGTTTTTCCACATACACATATATCACGTGTACACACAAAATTCAGCCACAGTAACAACAAACAGAACCCCCATATGAACAACCAACAAGGCCTGTAGAGATAGCGGTTATACAGATGCTGAAGCCAGGGGAAGGACAGGATCTCTGAAACTGTGCAGCTGACTGTGCTGCAGAACTGAAGCCTCCCCCTCTCTCTTGTTATGTTATGTTTTAAAATCCTTGTGTAGTTCATCTTGGCTGAAAGGATGAGAAGAGATAGTACTGAGTCTTCTTAAGCACAGTTGACTCTTGCTGCTTAATAGCATTTGTTAGGGTGTATGCTCAGTGGAAGCACTATCATACATGTATTTTATTTAACTGTGTGTGTACTGGTGCTACAGCTTTGTGGAGGTCAGAGAAGAACTTACAGCAGTCGTCTCCATGTTCAAACTCAAGTCATTAGACTTGGCGGCAAATGCCTTTACCCACTGAGTCATATCACCAACCCCACAGTAGTGTATTTTAACATCTTGTTTTTGAGACTATATCCAGACCTGTCTAAAACTAACAGTAGCCAGAACTTGGTGGAGTGTAAATGCTGACTCTCAACTGCTGTTTCATATTAGATGTTTCAAGAATATAGAGGTAGGGCTGGGGAGATGGCTCAGCGGTTAAGTGCACTGGTTGCACTTCTCGACGACCCAGGTTCAATCCCCAGCACCCACACGGCGGCTCATAGCTGTCTGTAATTCCAGTTCCAGGGGATCTGGCACCCTCATAGAGACATACATGCAGGCAAAACACCAATGCACATAAAAATAAATCTTGAAAAGAAAATAAAACTTAAAAAAAAGAATATAGAGGCAACTTTGTAAGAGGTGGCACATTAAAAATACCAGATGTGGGGGCTGGAGAGATGGCTCAGTGGTTAAGAGCACTTGTTGCTTTTTTAGAGGACCCAGGTTCAGTTCCTGGCACCAACATGTCAGCTCACAACCATCTGTAACTCCAGTTCAAGGGCATTTGATGCTCTCTTTTGGCCTCCTTGGGCACCAGGCACACTAGTGGTACACAGACATGTCTGAAAGTAAAGCAGTCATACACACACAACAAAATAATAATAATAAAAGAAATTTAAAATGTCAAGTGTGCAACATGTTTGGAAATGATAGAGGTATATAGAAATTGTGTTGAAACGTTTTGGATTTGGAGGTCGGTTTGCTTTTGAAGGCAAAGCTATCAAATGTGAGTTTTTTTTTTTTTTTAAAATAACATCTCCCTATTTAGCCTAGACTTACCTCAGATTCAATTTGTTATCCTTCTGCTTCAGCGTCCTTGATACTAGGATTATAGTACATCCTGCTTAAAATGGTCACTTTTTGAGCATCCTAGAAATAGCTCTGCATGCTGTAAAAGGAATGTCTCCTAATCCCACAGTGTCCTTAGTAGGTAGATGCTATTTCATTTTACAAATTAGGAACCTGGTGCTTAAAGAGATCGAATTTCACATCTAAAGTCACAGTTGCAAATAGTTGACTTGGGTTACCATAGAAGAAAGGGATTTCAAGGCGATGCCTGAATTACGTCTGAATTTGGGACCTTGTATTTTTCTTTGTCCTGATGCAGTGGGAGCTCTTGATGATTGTGTGGAGGAGGTAAATGTGTAAACTGCTTCACATGTAGTATCTCTTTTCCTCTGTAATATCCATGTTCGTTCACACATTAATGATTTCAAGACTTCTACCTCAGTGTTGTTCCCTACCTTTGAAATTTCTTTCTCTGTTAATCTCCCTTTGCTGTATTAAAAATAAAAGCTATCATGGGCACTGGAAAGATGGTTCAGCGGGTAAGAGCACTTACTGCTCTTGCAGAGGACCCAGGTTTGGTTCCCAGCACTCACTTGGTAGCTTACAGCCATCTATAACTTCAGTTTCAGGGGACTTGATGTTTTGGTCTGACCTCTGAGGGCACCAGGCATGCATGTGGTACACATACATATGTGCAGATGAAACACAGACATAAAACAAGTCTAAACATTTAAAAAAATTTTTTTTTATTTTATGTGCATTGGTGTTTTACTTGCATGTATGTTTTAGGGTGTCAGATTCCCTGGAACTAGAGTCACAGACAGTTGTGAGCTGCCATGTGGGTGCTAGGAATTGAACCCAGGTCCTCTGGAAGAACAGCCGGTGCTCTTAACCAGTGAGCCATCTCTCCAGGCCTGTTTTTGTTTGTTTGTTTGTTTTTTCTCTTATTATTTATTTATTTATTTATTTATTTATTTATTTATTTCTGTTATCAGCTTGATACAGTACAAATTCTTATCCTAATAGTGAAATGTTTCATTGAGGCTTGCCCAGTGATTGAGTAAAACCAAAACTTATTCTAAGCCACAGTTATCCTAGGGTCCCCCCTGCTAGGTAGCCTCCCTGGTTCTGTGGGTTACAGTCTGACTGTATTTTTTGCTTTATATCTAGTATCCACTTATGAGTGAGTACATGCCATGTTTGTCCTTCTGGGTTTGGGTTACCTCACTCTGGATGATATTTTCTAGTTCCATCCATCTGCCAGGCCCGTTTTTTGACTAAACATCTCTCTCTCTCTCTCTCTCTCTCTCTCTGTCTTGAGACAGGGTTTCTCTTAGGTAGCCCTGGCTGTCCTGGAACTGGTTTCGTAGACCAGGCTATCCTGAAACTCTGCCTCCCAGTTAATCTTCTGGAATTAAAGGAGTATACCACCACTGCTCATAAAAATAATTTTTAAAATAATTAGGAAAGTCTGTTTTGAGACAGTGTTTCACAGCCTTGATTGGCCTATAACTCTGTGTAGACCAGGCTGGCCTTAACTCATAGAGATCCCTGCCTCTTGTCTGCAGGGCACTCTGAGGGCTTGTGCCACCACACACAGTTTAATGTTTTTTTAAAATTACAATTGCTTATTGGTTTGTATGGGTGTGTGTGTGTGAGTGTTGGGCAGCCATGCCAGGGAGTCGCTATGGAGCTCAGAGGATAACTTGTGTGAGGTCAGTTCTCTCCTTCCGTCACGTAGGCCCTAGGGGATCAAACTTAGGCGCGGTGGCAGGCATTTGTCTTCTGAACCATCTTGCCATCCTTGGGTTGTTATTTTACTCATTGGGTTATGTTATCCATTGAAAGATTAAGAGATGACAAAGGTGACTGTAAGAATCCCATCCAAATCATTATTCCAAGTTCAGTAGAGACATAAATGTGCAGCCTCAGAAGTCAAGGTTACTCAGAGGGGTGGGTAGACTGGCAAATCTATTATCTTGGTACTTGGCAGGCTAAGGCCAGGAGGATTACAAACCCTACCTTGAGTAACATAGTGAGTTCCAGGCCAACCTGGGCTATAGAATGGGACCCTGTCTCAAAAATAAGTAAATAAATAAGTAAAAGTCAAGCACATGGTGGGAACATATCTATCATCATAGCTTTTGGGAGGCTGAGGCAGGAAGTCATGAGTTTGACGTCAACCAGAGCTGCATGATAATCTGCTTCTAAAACTGAAGCCAAACAAACATTCCGAGCAGAGAAGGTAGTGGGTTCTGGAATACCATAGACTGACCGCACTCTGAGAGAGTAAATATCTCATGTATATGCAGCTAAGGATGACCTTGAACTTGTGATCACTCTGCCTGTGGTCTTTGTGCAAGGGTTACAGGTGTGTGCCACCATACCTGGTTTATGTAGTGCTATAGATTGAACCTAGGGATTTTTGTATACTAGGCAAACAATCTAGCCTTGGTTCTGCATTCTTAAATACATTCTCTAAATGTCATTTCCCTTCTGGAATATGCTTTACTTCTTTGTAATGGTCATAAAGATGAACTAGGAGTATGTAGCAAGCATAGCACATTGCTTTGGGACAGAGTAGGTACATACATTGTGAGATGTTAAGATGTAAGTAGAGCTGGGGGTGTAGCTCAGTTGGTAGAATACTTACTGCCTAGCAGCTAAAGGTTCTGGGTTTAGTCCTCAGCACCTAATAAAAGCCAGGCATGGTGGCATATACCTCTAATTCCAGCACTCTGCAGGTGCAGGTAGGAGGATCAGGAGTTCAGTAGGCAGAATGATTATGATTGACCCTGTCTCAAAAGCTATTCTCCATAGCAAAAAGTCGGAAAAGCATCTAACATAGACACACACATAATGTACACAGGGTCTCATGTAGCTTAGACTGTCCTTGAACTCCTGATCATGTTTCCATTTTTCCAAGTTTGCATTATAGACATGTACCAATTTAACCTGACATTAAGCACTCAAAGTAATGGTCGAGTATAGAAGGATATATCAAGATGTGGTCACTGAACCTCAAATGCTATAGAAGTGAATATCAGAGATAATACTTTTCCATGATGGGGCTGGAGAGATGGCTCAGAGGTTAAGAGCACTGGCTGTTCTTCCAGAGGTCCTGAGTTCAATTCCCAGCACCCACATGGTGGCTCACAGCCATCTGTAATGAGATCTGGCTCCCTCTTCTGGCCTGCAGGGATACACGCAAACAACACTGTGTACATAATAAAAAAAACAAAAAACAAAACCAAAAAAACTTTTCTCATTGTACTTGGTTTTGCCTCTACTGTTTTCCCTTCCTTCCTTCCTTCCTTCCTTCCTTCCTTCCTTCCTTCCTTCCTTCCTTCCTTCCTTCCTTCCTTCCTTCCTTTTTTCTAATTGTTTCTGGTCTTGCTATGTAGCCTTTGCAATTCTCCTGTCTCAGCCTCTCAAGTGTCAGGATTGCAGGCAAGTACTGTCTTACCAAGCCTTACTGTCTTTATTTTATAGTTAGGAAATGGCAGCTCAAAGAAGTGAAGTGATTTATTTGCCCAAGGTCACAGATTGTTAAGAGGTAAAGCATGGATTGAACCTGTCTGAAACTCTAAATTTAGCTCCCTCACCACAGTTGCCTCCTGTTACCATGTTTTCCCTTCATAGTATTTTATAAGCCCTTGGATTAAGTTGGTAGTAATTTTAGTACAACTGGCAACTGCTTGCTTAGTGCCGAGTCATTGTTGCCTCTCTCTGTCCTTAATAGGCCAAGAAACCTATTATGGTGGTGCTTGTGACCTGTCTGGCTGCTGGATGAGCCCTCTCATCCCAGGGCAGGGCTTAGTGAGGGACAGGAGGGAGGAACAGGATAGTGGCTGGCTCCAAGGACACAGATTTACTGCCTCCTCCAGTCTTGTCCCTGTCAGGTGTCGTGTAGCTCTGAGCATGCATTCCCCAAGAGAACTAAGTGCCTCTTTTCCTTTGTCTTCTAGCCTGGCTTTCGAAAACGGCTGGGGTTGCTGGAGAAGAAGAAAGATTACAAACTTCGAGCAAAGTGAGTCCAGTATTTCTGATAGAGGTACTGCCAAGAAGGCTGACAGCATCCCCATACTACAGCTGAAGTGCCCGAGTGTCTAACGGGGAAGAATTTCCTGCCACTGATAAAATACCCAAAGCTCTGGCAGCCTGTTAGATATTTTCCTGTGACCCTCAAGCTTCCCTTTGTTCAGATACAGCATTACTGACTTAAAAGTACTCTCACTGTAAAGTTTTTTAGTATGCCCTTCCAGGTGGTTTTTTCATAGGGGCGTTGCTTTGCCTCTGCCTTGGTGTTTGAACCAAATGCTGAATCTTTTTGCTCCCTTTTCTTGAAGTGAAAGATACAATCTAAAATTCCGTTTGTTCAGTCTCTTACATCATCATGATATGTGGTGTGGAATGAAGAGATGTGAAAGATGAAATCATGAGCCTGAGAGTGGGTGATGATGAACTCTGAAAACATTTTATAAAACAATTATGTCCATTCTTTTCTTTAGCACTTCATTTGCAAAATGCTTTTAATTGCTTATTATCATACAAGTCAGTTGAGGTTCTTATCCTCCTGGTGTGGCAGGAGATGATGATTAAATGGATTTCTGTAGGTCCTAGATTTTAATTTTCAAAAAAAATTTTTATTTTATTTTATTTTTGGAGATAAAGTCTCACTATGTAGCCCTGGCTGGCCTGAAACTCAGTGTGTAGACCAGACTAACCTCAAATTTACGGCTATCCACCTGTCTCTGCCTCCTGATATGTGCCTGTGGAGGCCAGAAGAGGGCATCAGATCCCTTTGGAACTGGAGTTAAAGACAGTTGTTAGCTGCCATATCTGTTCTGGGAATTGGACCTGGGACCTCTGGAAGCTGGGTAGCTTTCTCTCGCTCTCTCTCTCACAGTCGCTCATTCATTCATTTTATTTTTGTGACAGTCTCCTAGGCTGGCCTCAAACTCAAGGTCTCTTCCCTCTGCTTCTTGAGTGCTGGGATTCAGTTCTACATATGGTGCCTGGCTCTGGCTGGTACCAGAGCTTTTTGCCATTTTTTTTTTTATTTTATTTTTTTTTATTTTTATTTTTTTGAGACAGGGTCCACTATGTAGCTCTGGCTGTCCTGAAATTCACTATATAGACCAGGATGCCTGGAACTCAGAGATCGGAGTGCCTGGATTAAAGGCATGTGCCATCATGCTGGCCATACTAGAGCTTTTGAAGCTAATTCTAAGAACTGAGTGCTGTGATTGGTTTCTTTTTGTGGTATGGTGGAAAATGGGATTTGAACCTAGGGTCTAATGCATTGGAAAGAAAGCTCTCTACCAATGAACTATAGCCCCATCCCTGAGTGCTGTGATTGGGTCAGGCAGTGTTCTAGGAAGTTTGTGTGTTTTTTTTATTTTTTTCAACAACCTTCTGGGTAGGTTACTGTTAGACTCATTTGATATGTAAAATTAGGATTAGAATGGTTATCCAACTTCCCCAGGGTTAACCAGAAGTAGTGGAGTCTGAATCCAGACCACACAGCATGGCTGCAGAAGTCATTCCTCTCCTGCTCGGCTGGATGGATGGCAGTGAACGGTGTCTGAGTCATGGCGGGACTTTGGTGCTGAAGCTCAGACTACAGCCTTCCTAAGGAGTTTCAAGTTGTGCTTTCCTTGGTGTCCTTTTGTTGAAGTGGCACTAAGATGTGGAAAGGAAGTTCGAGGCCAGCCTGGGCTACAGAGTGAGTTCCAGGACAGGCTCCAAAGCTACACAGAGAAACCCTGTCTTGAAAAACAAAACAAAACAAAACAAAAAACAAAAAAACAAAACAAAATAAAAAGATGTGGAAAGGAGACAGTTACTTTTAGGTATGATTGGAACAGAGGACTCAAGATTGTGAGTCTTACAGGGAGCCTGATGGGTGACAGTGGACCATAGAGCAATCTGGTCACTGCTCTGAGTTTCTTAAACATTGGTTTTTGTGGTTCTCATTGGTTTATTTGCTTTGAGGGATTTTGTTTATTTGTTTTTTTGAGACAAGCTCTCACTTTAAGTTAGATTGATTTTGAATTTGTGATTCTTCTGCCTCAGCCCTCCAAGTGTTGAGGTAGCAGATGTGCCTCCAGGTTATGAACTTTTTTTTTTTTTTTTTTTGAGACAGGGTTTCTCTATAACTTTGGAGCCTGTCCTGGAACTCACTCCGTAGACCAGGCTGGCCTCGAACTCAGAGAGATCTGCCTGTCAGTGCCTCCCTCAGTGCTGGGATTTAAGGCATGCACCACCACTGCCCAACCAGGTTATGAACTTTTAATGCATGTAGTTCATCTGTGGAGATAGTTTTTCTTTTTTTCCTTCTTTTGTAATGAATCTCTCCTGACTTTTTTTTTTTTTTTTTTAAGTGACTATCATAAAAAGCAAGACTTCCTCAGAGCTCTCCGGAAGAAGGCTCTTGAGAAAAATCCAGATGAATTCTACTATAAAATGACTCGGGCTAAGCTCCAGGTAAGTGCAAAACAGATAATAGTTGTTCAGAGCCCCAAGTATTGGGAAATAAGGATGGGGAGTGGGACAGAGCGAGGAAGCGTCCTTGAGGCCCTTCTCCATGTGGACCTGGTCTCCTGGGGAGAGGTGCAGGGCAGACTGTCCTTTTCTTGGTCAGCGTGCTCTTACCTTTGCACCATCTTCTGTTTTGTTTTCCCCCTATTTGTTTTTATTTTGGTATTACAAATGGAACCCGGTACCTCTGCATGCTAGACCAAGTGCTGTACCCTTAGTTACACCCCAGCCTCTTGTTTGAAGGATAAATGATGGAGGTTTGTCTGTTCAAGCTGAGTGTCAGTGGCCTGAGGCCTTGGATAGCTCTTAGTGTGCACACAGCTCTTGTCTTTGTTTTAAATGTGGATTATGCGGACAGCTTACTGTGATTGTACTCTGCTACAGACTGTATCTGTTAAACTTCACTTTTAGGATGGAGTTCATCTCATCAAGGAGAACAAGGAGGAAGTGACACCAGAGCAGCTGAAACTGATGAGAACTCAGGACATCAAATACGTAGAGATGAAGAGGGTCGCAGAAGCGAAGGTGACTGTTGCGTCTGTTCTGATGTGTTCCTGTGGGTGGACTGAGAAAGGGCACAGCAGGTTGTGGTTGTGTATACCTCTGATTCCAGCACTTGGGAGGTAGAGGCTCTAAGCATCGAGGCCCTGGTTTTAAACAACAACAGAGGAAACGATTCTGTAATGTCAAGTTATCAGCTGATTCCTTTGGGTGTGATGATGATTTAGAAGTATAATCAGCATGGCGGAATAGAGTTCAGCTTTGAGAATGAGACAGATGTAGGCTAAATTCTGGTTCTGCCAGTTTCTAGTCCCATGGTTATGGATCAGTTAACTTGAGAACGCTCATTTCTGTCATATTTTAAATATTGAGTTTTGTGGAATGCCTCGTCTACTGCTTGATAAATAAATTTAAGTGCTTTCATTGAAAAGAATGAAGTCTGCCTTGCAGTGGTGGCGCACGCCTTTAATCCCAGCACTCAGGAAGCAGAAGCAGGAGGATCTCTGAGTTTGAGGCCAGCCTAGTTTACAGAGTGAGTTCCAGGACAGGCAGAGCTACACAGAGAAACCCTGTCTTGAAAAAATTAAAAAAAGAAAAGAAAAGAAAGAAAAAGAATGGAAATCATTGAGAACAAAGTATAATGACAGATGTGTGATGATGCCTTGATGAAAGTCAGTGTCTAAAAATATCAAAAAGAATGAAATGAATTCTTTGCTGGCTGACAGTGATGATGTGAAGTGTCTAAGTTCTTGAAGGTTTATTTCTGAGACTCCCGAAGAAGCCACTTTAAAGAGTCCATATTCCTTATTCTAGAAAATTGAAAGACTGAAATCAGAGCTCCACCTGCTGGATTTCCAGGGAAAGCAGCAGAATAAGCACGTGTTCTTTTTTGACACCAAAAAGGAAGGTATGAAATGTTGATGGTGCCTGGGACAGTCTGCCATGTCACTGTGTGTTGTATGGTGTTAGGGACAACCTGTGCCTTAAAGATTGTCTTGAATTTCAGTTGAACAGTTTGATATTGCGACCCACTTGCAAACAGCCCCAGAACTAGTAGGCAGGGTCTTTAATAGACCCAGAATAGAGACCTTGCAGAAGGAGAAAGTGAAAGGCGTTACCCCTGAGACTCGACTCAAGGTATGCTTTTCTGTTTGCACTCAGATGGGAGTTTGGGGGCGTCTCAGGGGTTTTTTGTCTGTGGTTCCTTTTTTGCCACTGTGTTTCTTATAATTATTTGTGGAAAACTTCAAAAACTATCTTGAAAGTAGTAAGATGACCTGGTAATGGGTGGAAGTGGATTTCTGTTTGTTTTGGAGGACATGTTCCATAGTGGTCAGGAGCTCAGGTTTTGGGTTTGAATCCCAGCTCCAAGCTGGTTGGTCCTTTGTGCCTTTAATGCATGTGTTCTTTGCTGACACTTGGAAAGTTCAGAGCAGGCTGGGCGGTGGTGGCACATGCCTTTAATCCCAGCACTCGGGAGGCATAGCCAGGAGGATCTCTGTGAGTTCAAGGCCAGCCTGGTCTACAGAGCGAGGTCCAGGACACCAAAACTACACGGAGAAACCCTGTCTCAGGGGAAAAAAAAAGCAATGACCATTGAAGATGAGGTTTGGGGTGTGTCGGGCTTTGATCTAGAACCTTTTCCAGTGAATACGCATATTAAAATGTTTTCATATTACTCGTTTGTAACCAAGATTTTTGTATTGACTTTTCCTTATGGTGCTTTCTATCACATAACTGGGTTGTGGAGATGACAGGCTTTTTCTCAAAGCCTTCTGGAGTTGAACTCTCACTTCTGACTGATTCATTTAAAAAAAAATGCTGTCAATGTGTTTCAAGCAGACAGCTGTTCTGTTTTGATTTGAATCATTTACACCGCATCAGTTTTGCTTCCAATGTTTGATTTCACAGCAGTTTCCTCTAGCTCAGAGGCAGCTAAACTTGCTTTAGTAATATAAATACCCCTAATTAGTTTGACTATATTGGGTAATCCCATAAATTTGACAGTCTGTGCGATAAAGTGAAAACAAAAGCTGTCTGAAACCACTGCTGTGAGACTCTGCTGGAGCTGGCGAGTTGTTGGTCTGAGGCCCAGTGCTAGGCCCCTTTATGTTTGTCACTCCCAGCTGAGGGGCTGGCTGGGGTGTTCTCCTGATAGCCGTGTTTGTCAGTGAGTTGTGTTTCCAGTTAGCTGAGTCACTGATGCTCCTCGGGTAGTATTGTAGCCCTTTCAGAGGGTAGTGGCCCAGACCCTAAAGAATGCTCTGCCATCAGAGCGCTTAGGGCTCGGGCTGCCATTTTTCAAAGCTCAGTGTTGTTACACTCCATTGCTTTGTTTAAAGCATAATTATTTTTATCAAGAGGCTGCTGCTTGTGAGTAGATTGCAAGCCTGCAATTTGGAAGTGATAAACAAAATCTGTGAATGGCTTAAAGTCTGAACACCCCTCCACCCACTGGAATTTTATACATATATGTACGTACAGGTAGTTCAAAACAGTAAAATCTGAAATTCTTCAAAATTTGCAGTGTTTTGAGTGCTAATAGATACTACAAGTGGGAAATACACACCTGATTTGATATGATGATGGGCCACAGTCAAAATGCAGGCACACTAAAAATACTGTGTAAAATTACCTTCAGGCTGTGTATATAAGGAATACATGAAAGATAATGAATCGCTTATTTAGACCTGGGTTTCATCCCTAAATTATCTCATGTACATGCAAGTATCCCCAACACCCCAAACTTTGAAGTGCAAACACTCTGGTCCCAGGCCTTAGGGATGAGTGAGACTCAGTCTGTGTGCCATCTCAAAGAAGCCAGAGTTGTTGGTTTCTCAGATGCTGGAGTTCTGGAAATGTGAGGACTGCAGTAACCTATGAGGAATCCTTAGCCAGTGAGTCTTCTCAGGTCTCCATGCTGAGAATTCTCCTTGTGCTCTTTGAGATTGAGGTTCTCAGGCCCCAGCACACTGCCCATCACTGGGCCTTCTCTTGCTCCCTGTTCACTTTTGCAGGCTTCCAGTCCTGGACAGGTGCTGCCCTCAGCTCCAGTAACAGTGTGGAGGCCACTTAGTGTACCTTTGGGAACACTCTCAGAAGTGAGGGCTCAGGCTAGTCCTGACTACCCTCTAGGCAAACCGTCTACCCTTGGGCCGGTTACTTTTCTTCTCTGGGTCTCGTGCTGCATTTGTTAAATGGAAGATTTTGATAGGGTAGTTTCCATGGTTGCTTTCACTTGTAGAATGTGCTGGCTTTAACATGGGTATCTTTTTTTTTTTTTTGTTTTTTCGAGACAGGGTTTCTCTGTGTAGCTTTGCGCCTTTCCTGGAACTCACTTGGTAGCCCAGGCTGGCCTCGAACTCACAGAGATCCGCCTGGCTCTGCCTCCCAAGTGCTGGGATTAAAGGCGTGCGCCACCACTGCCCGGCTAACATGGGTATCTTAATAGTAGTCATGTTGAGTTGATTCTGGAATAAAGAGGGAACTGATGTTGTATTGTATTATTTAAATAAATTAAAAATTATTTAAATTATTTAAAAAATTGTATTATTTAACTATATGTTTATTCTGTAGAGGATAGCTAAAGAAAGACAAAGGCAGTATGATTGCTTGACACAGCGGATTGAACGGGAGAAGAAACTGTTCGTTGTTGCACAGAAAATTCAAACCCGCAAAGATCTTATGGTGAGGAGAGGTAGCCTTGAGCTTCCTCTTTTTCTCGCTCTCTCTCTTTTTTTTTTTTTTTTTTTCTGATAAAGGTCTTGACTGAGTCTGGATCTTGGCTGTGTGTAAATCAACAGCAGTGAAAATGTCTGCTCCTTTGGGGCAGTGGTTTGAGGCAGTGTCTACTGCTCTGACACTGTTGAAACGGTCCTTGATTAAGAAGGTAATAAGGGGTTATTAGGCAGTGCCCTGGAGCAGCAGAGGGTAGGATCAGGTAGCATATGGACTTTCCAGCTTATGAGCAGCTCCCGTAACATTTAAACAGGTTAACAAACAGTGCATGCCACTCACGGGTGTTTAAAAATAGACAACATTGTGCTGTGAAATAGCAGAGCCAAGGAATTTAAGAAGCTCTTTTGCATTATCGTTCCTCTAAATGTCAGATTCTTCAGCCTTGCAGATCATTTAGGTTGGCCTTTCTCAACTGGGGTTCTGAGAGAGAATTAAATTTATAATTTAAACAAAATAATTACTCGAGCTGCTCTCCTTCGTTTTCCCAAAGACTGTCCCCAGCTGGTAGCATCCTGTGTGCTCCTGGAGGGTTGAGTGGTTCCATCCAGTGGGTGGCTGAGGCTCTTCTGAACTGAGAGAAGGCTCTGTTGGGCTCCCCTTAGCTAGCTTACTAGCTTTGCTGCTTCCTGAAATCACGTTTGTGTTTCCTGGTCACCGTTTTACCCTCACAGGATAAAACTCAGAAGGTGAGGGTGAAGAAAGAAACAGCGAACACCCCAGCCATTTACAGATTCCAGACGCGCCGAAAACGCTGATGTGTTAAGAACAAGCCTCTTCGTTCTGCGTCGACAAGAACCTTTTTTCCTTTTGTAATAACTTTAGATTTCGTTAGTTCAGATGCTTTGATTTGCTTGTTTTGTCATCATGACTTATTGTCAACATGATGCTTGATGTCCTTCTATGAGACTATTAAAGCCCTTTCCCAAGATCGTTGTTTCTGTGTTGTTGTTGTTGTTATTATTATTATTATTATTTGGTTTTCCGAGACAGAGTTTCTCTGTGTCCTGGAATTCAATCTGTAGACCAGGCTGGCCTGGTCTCTGCCTCCTGAGTGCAGGCGTTAAAAGCGTGTGCCACCACTGCCCGGCTTTGATTCTATATTATGAATTCATTCTCTTACATTTAGTACTTATAATTCCTTATAAAATTTATATAATCTCATATAACAAAGTGGAAAATAGATGAATACATTTCTGATCTCAGTATTTAAGAACAACAGATATTTATTCCATAGTAGGAGCTAGGGCTACAGAGGTGAACCACTACTGTGGCCATTCCGGTGTATGTCCCCCATTTGGGAGAGTTATACATCAGTTTTTGTTTATATTATTATTTTGTCATTCTCCTTATAGCAGATTTTACATTCTAATTTTTAATTACATCATTAGCTCTGTTCCGTTTTTGTTATATTACAGAATTTTTCAAAAGTAATGTAAGACCAAAGTAAACAGTCCAGTCCTTGTTTTTGTGTGTGTTTGTATTTGGGTGGATCCACATACGTGCTGGTGCGAGTGGAGGAGGCCCCGGGACAGTGCTGCCCTTAGAATCAGTCCACCTTGTTTTGAGACAGTGTCTCATTGGCTTGGAGCTCATTGATGAGACTAGGCTGGCTGGCCAGTGAGCCTCAGGGATCCACCTGTCTTCACCTGTTTTTGCTGGGATTGCAGGTAAGGAAGGCCACACCTATTGGGGTGGTGGGTCAGGGGACAACTAGCTGGATTTAGTTCTCTCCTTCTCCCGTGTGGTCCCAGAAATCAAACTCTGCTATCAGGCTTAGTGGCAAGTGCCTTTCCTTGCTGAGCCATCTTTTCCGCTCCCTCACTTGGCTTTTAAAAAGTGGGTTCTGGGGCTGGGCAATGGCAGCACACACTTTTAGCACTAGTACTTGGGAGGCAGAGGCAATTGGATCTCTGATCTAGAGTTCTAGGGCAGCCAGGGCTACACAGTGAAACCCTGTCTCGGAAAAACAACAACCAAAATGCAGGTTCTGGAAATCAAACTCAAACCCTCCTGCTCACACAGCATCAGAACCTGAATTTCTTTCGTTTTTTGAGATGGGATCTCATGGATCTCTGGCTGACCTAAAAGTCGCTGTGTAGCCAAGAATGACCTTGAACTTGTGATCTTTCTGCCTCTTCTAAGGGCTGGGATTACAGACATACCAAAACAGCTGGCTAAAGTCATGGTTTTAAGGATTAAATGTGTACAGTGGGGAGAGGGATCTTCATTATTATTTGGGTGGTTTCATAAGTTGTCCGAGAGTCCGTTTCTCCCTCCTTACATTCGGAGACAGACACTCTTGGAACTAGGAACCCATAGGGTTTCTATTTGTTCAGAAAGCTCACATCAGGACCTACGAGGACTGGCTCTGTTCCTGCCCTTTGTTCCAGCCAATTGCTGATTCCAAGGCTATAAATGACTTCACCTGAGAATACAGACCCCAGGCTATATGGAGCTGTTTTCTTCTCTTCCTTGGGTCCCACCCTTTGCTTCCTTGCCCATATATAGGGATGGTAGGCCATGGCCAGTCAGAACAGGACTAAGCATGCTTGCAGAAGAAGTGGGAGAACTGAGAACAGGGTTCTGGGAGTCTTTTTCACACCCCACTTCCTGGAGAGGAATAGCTGCATCGGTCTGATAGATTTTCTTTTTTCTTTTTCGTTTTTAAATGTGTGTATGAGTGTTTTTTGCCTTTATGTCTGCACCATGTGCATGCCTGGTGCCTGCAGAGGCCAGAAGAGGGTGTCGGGTCCCCTGAAACAAATTTTAGCTGATTGTGAGTGCCATGTGCATTCTGGGAATTGAATCCAGGTCCTCTGGAAGAGTAGCCAGTGCTATTAACCTCTGAGTCATCTTTCCAGGACCGTGATAGTAAGTGACATGGCTGCTGGGTTCCTGTATAAATCCTAGAATGAAAGCCTGTTTTCTCAGAATGTGTACTGTGGGATTCAGATCTGGGAGCCCCAGCTGAGCTCAGTTAGTGCCAGTGGTCTGAGTCTTGATTCCATCAACAGAGATTGTAGGTAACACTTTGGGAAACCGTGGCTGGCACAAGGTGAAGGTAGCGTTTTCAGATGGTTCCTGAAAGGAATTTGACATTCTAAGGAGTTAACAGACCAAACAATGGTCTGTTCTGGGGTAAGCTGTCAGGCACTATGGTTCTGTTCTTGCCATTCCTGGGTAGGAAAGTGGGGGCAGATTGGGAGTATACCTGCCCACCTTCTCATAAATGTACACCCACACAAAAGTATACAGCACTGCATGGGCTCTCAGGCTAACAGGCATGAGGCAGGAGCAACTTAGGCCCTATAAACAAGTGTGGGCACATCCATGCACCCACCTGGGTGCACACACATAACACACCAGTGGAGATGCTTGAAGGTGCTTGTGCTCCGTCCAAAGGGGCTTCAAAGCCCATTGTGTTTGGAGTTCCCTAGCTTCCAAGCTGGAGGTAATCAGAACTAGAGGAACAGGACTAGGTATCTTTGTTGCTGAACCACTGTTGACTCTGAGGCCCAAGGATTGATTCTCTTCAAGAGCAACAAGTGCTCTTAACTATTGAGCTACCTCTTTAGCTCTGTGTTTTAATAGCACTGGTCTCATGCTAGCCTGTCTCATGGGGATAGACTGTCTCATGCTCTCAAACTTACTATTATAACTCACTGCCAAGTTTTGGAATTACAGTTATGAGCCACCATGTCTGGAGGGCCCAAGAATTTTTTTTTTGTTTTTGTTTTTCAAGACAGGGTTTCTCTGTGAAACAGTCCTGGCTATCCTGAAACTCAGTCTGTAGATCAGGCTGGCCTCGAACTCACAGAGATCCTCTGCCTCCCAAGTGCTGGGATTAAAGGCATGCGCCACCACCACCCAGCTAAGGGGCCCAAGAATTTTTAAGGGGAGAGATTAGTGGTCCCTTGCCATAACCAGGGTTTCACTGTGTAGCCCTGGCTGCCCTAGAACTCTAGATCAGAGATCCAATTGCCTCTGCCTCCCAAGTACTAGTGCTAAAAGTGTGTGCTGCCATTGCCCAGCCCCAGAACCCACTTTTTAAAAGCCAAGTGAGGGAGCGGAAAAGATGGCTCAGCAGGGAAAGGCACTTGCCACTAAGCCTGATAGCAGAGTTTGATTTCTGGGACCACATGGGAGAAGGAGAGAACTAAATCCAGCTAGTTGTCCCCTGACCCACCACCCCAATAGGTGTGGCCTTCCTTACCTGCAATCCCAGCAAAAACAGGTGAAGACAAGTGGATCCCTGAGGCTCACTGGCCAGCCAGCCTAGTCTCATCAATGAGCTCCAAGCCAATGAGACACTGTCTCAAAACAAGGTGGACTGATTCTAAGGGCAGCACTGTCCCGGGGCCTCCTCCACTCGCACCAGCACGTATGTGGATCCACCCAACAACCACAGTTGTTTTTTTTTTTTTTATCCACTCCGGAGACAAGCTTTCTCTGTGTAGCTCTGGCTGTCCTGGAACTGACCAGGCTGGCCTCCTCAGAGATCCGTCTGCCTCTGCCTCCCTGAATGCTGGGATTTAAGGTGTGCACCACCACCGCCTGGCTAGACCACAGCTTTAAGGCAAGTCTCTAATGTATATAGACCACAGACAGACTCGCTAGGAAAGAGTTTGTTTTCTTTGTAGCCACCTTCTCAGGCTTGAGGTGGTTTGGCCTGTTGACATGGTATACCACTCTGGCTGTGCCATGAGGCTATGGGTAGCCTGTGGAAGTGGAGAACTTGCCTGTGACTCAGTATTCTTGTTTTGTTCTTGTCTTGGCATAAGCCAAAACTTCAAAGCAGCAGCCATCTGAACCCTGTGGAACTCGTGGATTTGTCCAAGAGACAGTTCCCGAGCCAGCTCAGTCAGCTTATAGCCACGTCTTAGGGTCCTTTCAACTAAAACTGGAGCGTGTCAAGGCCTTGTTTGATTTTTCAGTGGAAGAATCTAATTCTGATTTTCCGTCCTTGGAAGGAACGGCAGGGTGGGAGAGAGCCCAGCAGGTGGAGCTGCTGCCTCTCTCTGGGCTGGTTATCAGCGAGCCGGTGTCTACCATGGAAGGAGCTTCTGCCAGAACCTCCTTGCCCCCCAGAGATGCTGAGTATGGATTTGTTTATTGAATTTAATGCCACAGAAGAGAGCTCCATGAAAAAGATCTTTCCGTTTAGTCTAAATGAATCATGGCTTTCCCACTTTTAATGAGGATCCTGTAGGGACCCTTAGGGTCTTTTCCAAGGCCTCAGGTTTCCCAGAGGTTGGTCCACTGGGATGTTGTAGGGGGCTTTCTTTTGTGGAGGTCTGAGGGTTGACTTGTGGCTTGCTGTCCCCCGTGCTGCTGGCTGTGGGTCACTGAACAATCAAAGCTGCACGTCCTTCAGCAGGAAAGCAGCCAACATGCAGACTGCTCTGCCTGCCTGTGAAGGCCAGGGAGGCCAGGGCCTGTTGGGACTTGAAACCATGAAGCAAGTAGGTGTGTGGTTCTGGGCTCTCTTCCTCCCAAAGCCATCTCAGCTTGCCAGTTCCCAAAGCCTCATGCACAGGGCATTGGGAAGGGTGCACCGAGCCTCGGGTGGGAGTCCTGGCCCAAAGCCGCAGCTGTGTGGAGGAATGGGGGTAGACTGTCTGAGGCTGAGCTGGCAGGTTTCTTGGGCTTCGCAGCTGCCTTCTGGGGTCAGAGGGTGCACTCTAGCCAGCCAGGTCATGGGGCCTCCTTGCTGGCAGAGCTCCAACTGGCTTCTGGGTCTGTAGCATATGGATGCCAGAGCAGCAGCGTAACAAGGAAAGGCAAGGCTGCTGTTCCTGGGTCTGTGGCCAGGGTGTCACTCAATGGTAGAGCTTTGACCTAGAATATGTGAGGCCTGGACATGATCCTTAGCATATTACCCCCCTAAGCCCAAGTCTGCTTCTGAGACTCAGGAGACCAGAAGAGGCT